AGAAATATATAGTTTAACGTCTTAACATTGTACGAATATCTAACACACAAACATATGAAAGGAGAGGGTGTAGCATTTATAAGAGACACCAGAGTTTTTTACGTGGAAACTCCTTAAAAATCATGAGGCCTAGCCCAATTTGAATGAATCCACTATTATTTGCAGTCGATTGCAAATGAGACCCTTCCTTATGAGGAAGATATTGGCTCGAAATATCAGATATACATCATATAGAGTGCATAATATAGTAGAAGGTGGAAGAATCGATATTGATATGATTGTTTGGGCGGCAAGACTATAATCGGCGAGCGATGTAGATCAGAAGGACCGTAGTTGGATGATGATGGTCGAAAAGACCGTAGTCGGCAGGCGATGGAGGTCGGGAGGATCATAGTCGGCCAATGACGATGGTCAGAATGATCGTAATTGACAGGCGATGGAGGCCAGGATGACCATAGTCGACAGGTGACGATTGTCAGAAGGACTGTAATTGGCGGATGGACGGAAGTATAACGATGGTTGGGAAGAACTCCAGCGGTGGTGGTTGGACTGGCCGAAGTCCATTGGTGGTCGAGAAGAAACTCCGGAGGTGATCGGCAGACCAATAGAAGTTCAACAGTGGTCGGCGAAGGTCTACAGGCTGGTGGAAGTTTATCGGTAGTCATGAAGAACTCTGGCGGTGGCCAGGGGACCGGTAGAAGTCCGGTGGTGGCCGGAAAGAACTCCAGTGGTGGCCGGGAAGAACTTTGACGGTTGATCGGCAAATGTACGGAAGTCTTGCTGTGGCCGGGAAGAACTCCGGCGGTGGTCAACGGACAGACAGAAGTACAGCGGTGGCCAAGAAGAATTTCGGCGATGGCCTGGAAGAACTATGACGGTGATTAGTGGAAGGGTGGAAGTTCGTCGATGATCGAAAGTTCTTCGGCATTGGCGCGGGGGTGGTGCTTCAGCCTCAGAGCTCTTCTTTTCTTTCTCCCCTTCCTCCTCCTTTTTCTCCCTTGGTTCTTCTCAATGGGAGTGGTTTGAATGGACGGTCGATATTGATCCCCTTGATCATGGATTGTTTAATAGTATTTGAATGCATTCATGATATCATAATTTAGTGATCTTGGGCTCGTTGGATTCGTCTCGTCGAGCCGCTTGATTCGCCTATAAGCATGTCACGTTTGAAAACCGTTTGATAATTCAGATTATGGTTTGAACCTTTCAAATGTGCTTTGGGTCTTTGATTAGGACTCATTTGGGCTCGGATTGAGTCGAATTTGATGTCGATGAGTTCGTATTTCCGAGACGTTCAGTTTGACTATAAGTTTGTTGAAATTGGAGTTCTGATGGGCCCATTTTTAATTTTGGAAGTTTCCAACTTGATTTTGCCTCGAGATTCATGCCCGATCAAGATAATTTTTTTTATGATATATGAAAAATAATCATTATAACAAAAGGATAGAATTGACTCACGACCTTAAGAAGACATCCGTTGAAGTCTCAAATTTTGTGAATGAAGAAGTCCAACAAAAATCATAATATCTGATGGATTCTCTTTTTCAATTGAATCTTCCTATTAGAAACTAGTACTATAATATCAACCATACAACATTGTTAATGAAACTCACATTGATAATTCCAAAGTAATAAGTGGGGCAACTAACGAGGTCCTTAAAAAATTAATCCAAATTGACAAAAGTATCAAGAAATTCCATGAAGATCTCAAAGTAATGGGTTAGTTCAACCAAATGGTAGATTTGAAGATATGACCTTTAATTATTAATTAACCCCCTTCCTCATATTCAACATATACAACTACATTATTGTACATTTTCGATAGATTTTGTGATCATTTATAAATTATTAGTAAACATTTTTTTGGACTGTCCTAATTTCATTTGACTCAATATCACCTCTCGTTATTTCTCCATCTTTCTCTTATCCCTTTTGCTTTACAACCCATTTCCAGCTTCTTCAATGTTATTGTTTGATTGATTGCCACCCATTCCCTCCACATATATTTCATGACTTTCCTCTTTGGTGCTTATTTGCTAGCTTGCCATGTAGCCCAAATCTGCTACCCACTCTCCCAGTCAACCTATATTTCTCCTCCTCTTTATAGCATGAGCACAATCACCTCGCAAGTATTTTTCACCAAATATGTATTTTTTTTTTTTTTTTTTTCTCTCCATCGAGTTTTTTTTTTTTTTTTTGTAAGCTCTCCATCGAGCCCTTCTCAATCCATTTGTTTTGATCTTGCTTAATAGGGTGTAATTGGTGAGAAATGCTCCCAAAAACCATTTTCCTAAGGAGATTTTGTTGATCTTGAAATATTCTTCAATGTATACTGAAATCCTATATTAGAACTTATGGAGCTCGGGGTCAAATAATTAAAAAAATGACTACAAATATCCATTATATTAAATAGCATTTATGAATTAGACTTGTATAACAAACATAGAAACCAAATGCGATAATTTTGTAAGTATTATTCAATTGGTTTAAAGAGTTATTTATTTTTCGAAATAATGTTTCTCTTATGCTCCTTAAAAAAAATAAAAGAAAAGTGAAGTCAAAGATGGCCTTAGTGATCTATGATGAAGAGCATAAATTCTGTAAGAAACCTCCCACAGTAAACTTCTCATAGAATTTTTTTTTTATCCAGATTTGTGTTCTTACGATAGATATGAAAAGTTTCTCATAGAAATTTTTATAATGAATTCTTAATAGGATTTATGTCCCTAATTATCACAGTTCAACATAAGATGTTACTCAAAGGTGTTTTCTCATCCAAAATTTTCTAATTTTTCTTTTGTTGTTATGCTCACAACAGATATGGGCATCGTAGCCTCTACAGAGAACGGTTGTACCTTAAATTTCAGAGCCTTCTATGAAGTAAATTCAGCGGAACATTATCTGCTTTTATTATTATCAGAAACTTTCATAACTAAGCCTTGTTAGAGAATAGAGCCCTGCATTGAGCACCCATATCATGGGTATGAGTACGCCCATGACCTTTTGGATGAGTACTTAATATCGGGGGATAAAATGATTTACATTGCTAATCACGTATGTTATATATTACCGCAATCCTCACTATGCAGCGCGCAACACTGAACTACGTTGTGACCTCGATAAATTTTGTTATGCGGCTTGAAAGTTTGCACTCAAAGCAAAGGGTAACAAGCCTCAAGGTCATCAATCCGTGGCAGCTTGCGTTCAAAAAACATGAAAAGTGGGTGGATATTGGTGGTTACGACATCCCAAAAGTCGCTATGGGTGGGCGCGGGTGGACAAAGCCCACCCATGAAGCGTGTATACCCAATGAGTACCCAACCAAGATCCCATATAGAACTTTGCTCAGATTTTACTTTCTTTCTTCTTTCATGAAATCTTTTGTGTTCAGCACTCATATGATAAAATGATTCCTAGAAATCTCTTCAAAAATATATGTAAGCATAACAAGCTGGTGGCTAAGGAGGTTGGGATCCAATGATTTTTCAAAGATGAGAACATTATTTATGTATAAGTTCCTCTTCAGACATAAATAATAGTATGAAATTATGAATTTTAAAGTATTAAAGTAGTGAGGTAAATGAATAAGTAGAGTATCTGTCTAATCAAATTAAGCTCATTTAATTTTTAATAAGTTTAAATTTGTGCTCATTTATTTAGCTCAAATATTAAAAAAAATATTAAGCTTGAGGTTATTTGGAAAGGTCAAAATTGACTTGATAAATTATTAAAAATATTTAGATGTATTTATTATTTTATTATGAATTTAATTATAAAATACATTTTAATTCAAATGAGCAGCTCGACAAGCTTACGAGCTAAGTCAAGCTCATGTATAGGTCAAACTCATTTCTTGATAAGCTCGCCTTGTAAGCTCGTTAATGAGTTTAATTGGAGCCAGCTCGACTCACTTACACCCCTATACAAAAGTATGAATCTAAAAATATGAGCTATTAAAGCGAGTGAGTTCATGCAAAACAAAATCATTAATGGAACTCACTTCGCTAAAGCTGGTTTTGAAATTCATCTTCAGCCACTTGGAGGCACTAGCGTTGAGCTGTACGTGAGATTCATGAAGTTACCATGAAAAAAAAAAAAAAAATTTTTTGATTGCTGATGGGAGAATCATTTCCTACTTTCTAAAAAACTATAGCTGTCCCAAACGAAGCCATCGCCCATCCTTTCCTCTTACAACTTCCAATACCTTCAAACCAATCTAAATTGTTGATATCTGTAAATTAGGGTTGAATCTATCATATCAGATTCTTTCTTGATGGAATCAACTTGCATTTGTATGTATGCTTCTTAACTTACTGTTGTAGTTAATGGGAATATAAAACCAACTCAATTTTTTTTCTATTTTGCCCCTTTTTAACATTTTCAGGTCAGTTTGATTTTCAAGCAGCAGAAACTAAACCGAAACTAATAAAAAAAGAACAAATTCATACAAAACCAAAACCAATTGTTAAAATCATACTAAACCGTTTGAATCAATACCCATCATATTCAATTTAGAAGATTTTTTTTTCCCGTTTCAAAACTAAATAGAAGCACTTATTACCCCAAACACTTTAAACTAGCCAGCATTATAATTTTCCACAAATCTCCATGCAAAGGATTAAGGTTTCATTTGGGACGTCTTTTTTATTGCTTTCTTAAAACAACTTTCTAGCATAAATTTTTATACTAAAAAGCTGCTTTAAAAAACAGTAAGAACGTCATCTCAAACGAAACCTAAGGCTTCGTTTGGGACGGCTTTTTTATTGCTTTCTAAAACGGAGTTTTAATACAAAAATAAAAAAAAATTTGTGCTAAAACTTCGTTTTAGAAAGCAATAAAAAAGTCATCACAAACGAAGCCTAAATTAACACCCAACTATATTTTCTTAACAGCTGACTTCTCATAAAAAAGTTCTGGAAGAAACTTACGTGAACTGAATACATAAGCACTGATATGTTTCTAATGATTAGAGAAAATGACTATAATTAGTTATTAGGATACAGAAACCATCTTCTTAATCAAGCATTTAAGCATCTGGGAGATTAATTAGGAGATTAATCAAGGGCATTTTGGGCCTCCCCTCTGAGTCTTCCAATTGTTGTAGCAAGGGCAGACCTCCTTATGGGCATATGTGCCAGGAGGAACGCATCTGCATTTGAAGCAGCATTTCTGGCAGAAGAACATGCAGGGCTTCTTGTAAGCTGTCTTCGAGCATCTGTACTGGCATGCACCTGGGCACTCTATAGACCACATAAATTTATCAATGCGTGAATATTGTTTATTATTTCGATTTTTTTATTAGAATATATGAATTTTCTGTATAAGATTTTTTTTTGGGGGGTCAAATTCACATTTAAATGAATACTGTATGTCAACAGTCATGCTATTTATGCAAGTTCTGTGGGAAAGTCAGGGTCTCAGTCATTATTAACTTTGCAATAATTTGGTCGCTCGAAATTTGAAAATCAGTTTTAGAAAATTATAATTTTATTTTCACCGGGTTTAAAGATTTTCGTTTGAGTGGATCTAAAATTAAAGATATGGAGTGTAATTTAAGTAGTGTTGAATCTGGTGGTGGAATTATGATATTGGTTGATCAAGTCATTAAAAAAAGTGTACATTTTATATCTCTTGAATCTATTGTTCAAAGCATGCAATGGTGAAATAGATGTGTATATTATTAGTAGAATTTAAGTTGGATGGTTGAAGTGGAATATATAATATAATATGCCGGATTTTTTGTGCGATTAAAAAGTACTCCTCAAATTTAGGGAAAAGTTTATAAGGTGGTGGCGAGACCAGCAATCCTTTATAGCCTAGGATGTTGGCAATTAATAGAGAAGTATAAAATTAAGCGTTACAAGATGAAAATGCTTAAGTGGATGTGTGCATTGGTACGTAGACGTCGTAGAGGCGGAATGCGAAAAAAAATATCTATGTGAAAAGGTTGGAGTACGTAGCTCTAGTGGCAGATAAGGTTAGAAATAGTTGCCTTAGATAATTTGATCACACAAAATGTCCGTTTTCCCTTGTTAGCAAAGTATATATTTTAGATCCAGCTTATGCTAAAAAAGATAGAGGTAAACCTTAAAAAATTTGATTAAATTTAAGTTAGAATTTGATTCTTAATAGGACACTGAAAAAAAAAAAATCGTGTAGCCAACATCAAGTAGTGGGATAAACACTTATTGCTGTTGTTTCAAGGATTTTGAGTGTGAAAATAAAAGTATTAAATCATGCATTAAAATAAGTAATATTATGAGTTCTGAAACTGAGTCTCTATGAATACAAATCAAAATAACAATGGCCAAGGTTCAGAAAAAAACCGGCCTCAACAATACATGCATAAATAAAGACATACAGGGAGTACCTATTAACAATTATCAACAATAAGCTTTATCAGTTATCAATGGAAGTTTTCTTTTTCCTAATTAATGAGAAGCAAAGTTATAACTCAAGCATTCATTAGAGGGCTCATTTGACTTTCCGTAAATAGAAGATATATTTAAAAAAAATAGATAGATAATCTTGTTAATTTTCACTAATTTAAATATAAAAATTAAATTATTATTTTTAAGGTAGTTTTAAGAAGATTTATAAAGTTTGAAATCAATGATGTTATTTAAGTAATTATATTCAATTAAATGATAAATTTAACAAACTTCATGATGTTTTTCTAACTCCAAACAACCAAATGAGCCATAATTGTCTCTGAGAAAAAAATGAATGAAGGTTCAACTGTATTTTAAGCCCAATAGGAATTTGAGAAGAGTGGTCATAATGACTCAGTATTTCTTGATACATCTATATTCTTTTTTGGATGAATGCACAGACGCCAGACGGGGAGAACCGTCTGATTTGTTTCTGTGAACACTAAAACATATGATGTTGTCTATGGTTTTGCAACATTTTATTGTTCACGGAGACAAAACCGGACGGTTCTTTCCGTCCGGTGTCCGCACAGAATAATCTCTCCCTTTCTTGAAAAAGGTATAGGGCTGATTTGATTTTGGTTTCTTCTTTATATAAATTAAGTAGATAAATTGCAGTCAGAAAGCTACCTTAAAGTATGGACAAAGCTGAAGAAGGAACTGCTTTTCTCAGATAAAAAACTAGAAGAAAAAAAAGAAGAAGAAGACTATGGACAAACCTGCTGCGCTGAAACCCGAATGTTTGTGCTTGTGCTGTATGTAAAGTAACAAGATATAAGTATAAGAAAGTTAGAACTTAGAACATTAACAAAGCTTTACCACACATAAATCAGAAATGGAGGAATTCTACTAACTTTCTCTAGTCATTACCTTATATACAACCAAATTTATGCTTAGCTCCCCATCAACCATCCGCTGATACAACACAGTCAGAAATTGTTAAGTCAAAGCAACAAAAAATACCGAAATCTGGGGTTGGTGAGATCAGAAAGAACCTCGGAAGCAGTTACAAGTGCTGAAAAGAAGGCAAAGAAGACCAAGATTAAGAAGAAGAAGAAGAAACAGCTTGACCTTCCCATGCTTCTAGTGTTTTGGGTGTAGTTCAACCCTTCACTGCAAAGTCCCATTGAGACAGGAGGCAACGATATATATATTTATATAATTAAGACTTGTGGGTAGAACTGTGCATGAACTCAGTCAAGTAAGCACCGGTAGAGTCAGAAATTTTCAACTGAAGACATAATTTAAAATTTACATGATTTAAAATTTTTAAGTATTCCTTCAATTTTTTTTTTATTATTTATGCTTCAGTCAGCATTAACAGTTTTAAAAATAATTTCACTTAAACTTATTATTTTAAAAAGAAAAAATATAAGATACTAAAAAACACAATTTATAATGCATAATTTTCGTAATATGAAAGAATTAAATGATTGTTTTATTATTAATATAATCAAATATTTATTTTTCAGAATAAATAATTAAAAAATCATTTATATATATTCAACTCTAATTCTATTTGGTAGTCAATTTTTTATGATATTAACAATTTCAACTTATATGGCATGATCGAATTGTTATTAAATAAATTCTAAAATTTTTAATTAATCATGCATGATAAAATTTTGATTATATAAAAATTATATTTACAAGGGATTAAATAAAAGAATAAAGATAAATAACTATAATTTTATCTTAATAAAAAGTAATAATAATAATAATAATATTTTTTTTTCATGGGAGGGGGATGGGGGCACTAGTGGATCTTAATTTAATTTTATATTTCTATGTTGAATTATTTAAAATAAAATTAGTCCTTAATAAAATATTAAAATTATAGACAATCAATCATAAAATTAAATGAATTGTTCAAGTGTTTGTATAAATTCTTATAGTCAATAAGTATTTCAATATTAAAAAGCAAAGTATAATCCCACGTATTTATTATTTTTATATTAGAATATTAATTTATCATATAACCTTACAGTCTAATAATATAGAAAATATATATGATATTTAAAATATAAAATATTTTTTAGTTTAAAAAATATATAGGATATAAAAAAATATGAATATTTTTCATATCAAATTAATTAATTGATTAAACACACAATAAGAGATTATTCAATGAATATAAAATAATAACAATATAATAAATATAAATACTATATATATATATAAATAAATATATACTTAGAGGATGGATTCATATGATTTATTAGAAAATGATATAAATGTTGAGTGGTCAACAATAAATTTTTTTCTGTTGTCAAGGAGCATTAATACTATGGATCCCTACTTGACTTCACATAATGTTACATGAATTGAAGACAAACGTAGAAAGATGGCATTTATAATTTATTATTTTAAAGGAAACCAGATATTAGAATATTGCCGAATAATATTAATAATATAACTTTAAAGTAAAAAGAATGTAAGGAGAACTTTTTCTAATTTAACTCAAAAGTAAAATAAATATAAATACTAGTTAATAAATAATAAAAATAATAGTGTATAGCCGGTGATCTATGATGGCTACCATATTTGGGCAGTGACAAGCCGACTGGTATGGCCTGGCGACCATCCATGACGATAGCTGGCTACTCACTGGTGGCATACATGTCATAGGTTTGGCAGTAGCCGAACTATGGCAGATGCTTGATAAGAGGCTAGCGAATAGAAGGAATGCAGTCGAAGACAACAGTAGTCATGGTGAGGCAAAAAGTATGAAGAAGCGACAATTAAGAGATATTAGTTTTGGTTTGAGCACGTTTTTTTGCCTTTTCCTATATTTGGAAAACGGCAGAGAATTTTTTTTTTTTTTTTGTTGTTTGGTTCGTCAATCGACGCTATCTCAATACTCTTTTTTTTTTTCAATTTTTCTACAGTTTTGAGAAAGAGCTTTTTATATATGCTTCTCCGTTACAAAACTACCATTTTATGAACTAATATGTTTTTTAAAACTGTCTTTTACAAAAGCATCAAAAAAATAAACGAAGCCTAAGTCATCTTATGATTGAAAAAAGAAATTCACAAAAATTGGATGAGTTTATAATGCATGAAAAATAAATTAGCAAGTGAAAAAAGAATTCACTAATTTTATGTTATATCCCATTTCATTAAATTAAACATTCAAAATTTAAAATTTTCTATGTTATTCTTACCATGCATTCATTTTTCTGCCAACCAAAGAACCCCTAAGAGATTAAGGTTTTGTTTGGGACGGCTTTTTTACTGTTCCTTAAAACAACTTTTTAGTATAAAAATTAAAAATTATATAATAGAAAACTGTTTTAAGAATCAGAAATAAAGCCGTCACAAACGAAGCCTAAGACCCATTCGACTGCTTGCCGATTTAAAATGTAAGATTACTTGGATTTTATTGATTTGCATTAATTGAGAGTTATTATTATTATTTATTATTTTGGGTAATTGAGGACATCGAACATGAATCACATGGGATATTTATTTTATAAACCAACGAGCCACCGCTCGATCCACAGTTAATATTAATTTTAAACCACACAAATTGAATAAAAATTCATCACTTGCTAACATTATTTTTTGCTACCGGCAAGATGGGAATCGAATACACTATTAGAGTACTAAATGAGACTTTATCAGGTCCCATGTGACATGTGCGCACTAATAAAATATGATTACATTACTACGGCCTTCAGATTCTTGCTTGCTTGGGCAATATGATGGATAAAACAAGAAAGAAATAAATAAAATTCAGCACAACAACTATTTTGCTTCATTTATTTATATTTCTCTACTATTTTTATTTCATTTTGCTAACTATGCCATGTGATTTCCAGCTGAAGTTGGCCCACCAAAATCAATGATTTGTCTGGATAGATTTAGGGTTATTTTGGGACAATTTTTTAATTGTTTCTTAAAGCAGCTTTCTAGTACAAAAATTAATTTTTTTGAACTAGAAAGCGACTTTAAGAAGCAAAAAGAAAGTCATTCCAAACTAAGCCTTACTTGTTAGTGAACCAAAATAAAAATTGATATTTGAACTGTATATAAACCGTCCTACGATTAAAAAACTTTAAAAAAATAAAAATAAAACACATATCTATTAATCAAAATAAAAAAGCGGTTACAACAGCAAAAGGAAGGAAATAAAAAACAAAAAAAAGACCGCCTCTCAAAACAAAAAACCCTGGGAACAAGCAACAAGAAATCCAAAAAACCCCGGGGGCTCAGTAGTCGACCGAGGTTACAAGAAACCTCGAAACTGCACAAGGACCATCCAATAGAGGTTGCCACAAGTAGGCGACGAGGAAACGAGCCCCGACCACATCATTGCCCTGCAACCAACATTCGAACCGAAAAACAATCCGATCAACTGTAAATACCGAATCATCTTCTTCGACCACCTCTTATCCAAAATTTACCACGGCAATTACCAGAAATAGGTCTATCACGAACCATTTTAAATTCATTTCCAGGATCAGAATAAGAATAAGAATCAGAATCACACTCCGACGAATTGTGCAACCAATTACCATGTGATCTAACATCCACACCAGTCGTACCACCCACCTGAAGCATTAACGAATGAGAAGCAATTTCATTCACGGGAACTTCCACCAACTTATGAGAAACAACCAAATTTCCTTCATCAACCGAACGCTCAGAGAGAACAGAAACCCGAATCGGTTCAACGTGCTCAACTAGCACAGGGCTAAACAAAATACAACAATAATCAATCAAAACACAAGCCTGCACAGCCTCACCACACATCAACTGAGTCGAAGTCATCGGAACCAACCCAGAATCCACCGCATGATTTACAGAAGAGGTTACAATATCAGTTTCTATCGGATTAGCAGAAATTAACGAAGGATTACTCGGCAAACCCTCCAAACAAGCACTCTCCAAACCAGAGGGTAAGAAAGGCATAGCATTAGGAGAAAGGTCCTTAGAAACCATTTCAGAAATAGCAACACAAACATTAGGCATGACCGTTTCATCCCTAGTTAAAACAGAATTCACCAAATTAGGCACAATCAATTCATTTTGAATCCCAACATTCGATTCCAGAATAAACGGGGAGATAGTTTTAGCATTATGTTATACAGTTTTGGTTAAAACAGACGAATCTAAAGCATCATTTTTAGATCGACATTCACCCACTTCATGGCCGAAGCAACGACATTCACCACAAAAAACAGGAAATTCCTCCATTACAACATTTTGCACACATCCAAGCTTTTCAGAACCCAACCAAATACGATTAGGAAAGGACTTAGTGATATCCAGTTCAACTAAAACCCTAGATACAGACGGTCTATAACCCAAAGACGATTATGACAGGACTTAGTGATATCCTACGATTAAAAAACTTAGAACATATATGTTTATTAGTTTTAGTTTATGCTGTCGATTCCTTTTTAATCATATTTGCTTCTAACTTTCGTTTGAAACAAAAATTTTTTTTTTCATTATAAAATTGTTGTAGACTATGTAATAATTTAAAACTATCGTAAAAAGTAAATTCCTGGTACAATTTTTTTTTTTGAAGTAGTACAGAATAATAGACAAATAAAAATTGTGATTGCTATATAAAAAAATGGAATTTCTATTTGAACTGAGTATATGTGCTATACCTTTGAGTATCGAGACGTTGGGGTCTGGAGCGCATGATGCTCAGAATGATGTTTGCGACGTTGAAGCCTCTGTTCCACAATAATTTTGGATTCAATATACAACGAGCACTGTGGGGTTGCGGTGCTGTAATTGTAAATTACACAATGATGAATACATGTTATTTAAATCAAATTCAAATATCAACCATAATACTTATGATGCAGATACTCATCTTTCATATTGATAATGTTGCAAGTCATAAAAATTATTTGGTGCATTCTATTGTGAAAATGATACTTAAATTTTATCATGTCATTTGTAAATATATTTTACCTCCTTGACAGATCAAATCGCAACATTTATATGATAATTATATCTAGATAATAGATATGGGTTATACGGAACTACCCAATAATTATCTAGAATATAATTTATCATTTTTACTTTTTAACCATTATTTCTTTTGCAAAAAATTGGATATGAGTCATCACTAATTATTATTTGAAATTAGAAAGATCTAGGATATTTATTCTTATAAAATCCTTTCTTCATATAAGGGAGGCACATGCACCACCACCCTTAAACAAAAATGACAAATAAACTAACTAATGAAAGAAACCAACTACTAAAAGAATATATATAAACTAAAAATAAATTAATTGTTGATGCAATGTTTATGTCAAAAACAAACACAAAGATCTTCATTTGATATCTTGTGTATTAGTACATTAGACTTCAATTTACTCTTCTGCGTGCGTCGTTGAGCTTGCTCTTTCCCTCGACCTAGACGGTCTGACGAAGATCGCTTTGGCCTTTATGCTAGTCGACTTACTTTCCCTCAACCTAGAGATTTTATGATTTTTTTTTTTTTGCAATGAGATTTCAATCCTTTCTTCAAGTAGGAAAGATATTATATATCCTCTTATTTTTAGACTACAGGAATTAACATTTGTATTACCAATTACAATAGTATGGATTGAAAGAGCATTTTCTAGTATGAATATTATAAAAAATCAACTGCGAAATAGAATTAGATATCAATGCTTGAATAATAAGTGCTTGCTTACATTGAGAAAGATATTTTTGATTGTATTGATAATGAAGTAATTATTCAATTTTTTTAGAATATGAAGAGTAGACGTTATAAATTGTAAGTTATTTATGATGTAAAAAGTTGAAGGAAAATTTAAAAAAATTAATTTAGCCTCCCATAAATATATTTTTTGGCTCTAAGCAAGAAATAATAAACTGTGATCTATCCGTACTATATTCACTCGAAGCTATTTTAAGGAAGGATGAGAAATACCATATTGCAATTGTGGGGGTAATTTCTTCGTAAATAAACTTAATAGAAATATCTAAATAAAAATGAACTTAACATTGTAATTCATTTAGAACTTTTTTGATATGGAGCAAGAGTCTGAAGTGATACATGTGAAGGAGAAAGAAAGCTATAAATTTTTAACACCTTCAACCCCACAATTGATTATAAGAGAGAGATTGCATCGAGTTGAAAATTTTCAAGATCAATCCTTCGGAGAAAGATTGTGCAATAGAAGATATAATTATCTAAAAATGTCAAATTGCATCCTTTTTAAAACAAAATTAGAAGAAAGCATTCAAATAAAGAAAGAAAGAACTCACCAAAACAAGCTTTTATTCCACACTATGAGATTGGCTAAATGATTCATTTCTATCCCCTATTGTATCCTATGTGGCTACGAAGATTGCATAAAGATTTTCAATTTGCATCAGAAAATCTCTATAAAATGTTTTTAATTTTCTTATTTACTTCATTTAATAAAATATTAATTAATAATAAATTATGATAATTAATGGAATTATTATAATTTAATTATTTTAAATAATTTTGATATAGGCCAAATAAATATTATGAAATATTTAAAAAATATGTCATAATATTTTGATGCAAAAAATTACAAGATGAAATTAAAATATTTACATTTATAATGAGACTAATATAATTTCAAATTTAATATATTATTAATTTCAACACAAATTTTAAAAATTAAATATCATATATTTGATATTAAAATATTCTGAAAATAAAATTTTCCATTTTCAAAATCCTCACTAGTTTTATTAGGCAAAACAATAGCGAGATTCAGGTTATCGTCCCTGGTGAAATAACTCTTATAAACTGCAACTTCCATCCCCGAAAGCACCTGCGACCTCCTCTTCAATCTGGTCCAAGAGAGAAACATTTCCTCAAATCCCCAGACGACGAAACCCTCACAATGGAACCCTAGATGTCCATCAATCTCTCCTGTATCTCCATCCAATGGACCTCTCCTACCTCCAATCTAGGGCTTCCACCTCCACGTCCTCCTCTTTTCCACCCCACCGCACCCAGCTACACCCTCGCATGTACTTCTCATCCCCCTCCCCCTCATCCTCAACCTATTCCCGCGCTTATCGCCTCCGCCTCATTGCCGCCGGGCTCTTCGTCTTCCCCTTTCTCCTCTACCTATTTTTCGTTGCCCGTCGTTCCCACTTGTCCGCTCGGTACACAGCTCCCCGTCCTAAAGGCTTCGGTGTCATCATTGATGCAGGGGCCTCCGCGTCCCGCGTTCGCGTCTTCGAGTTCCTCAATGAGGGTAGGATTCCGTTCGTGGCGTTTGATGGCAAGGGATCGGTCTCGATGTCTGTGAGGCCCGGGCTAAGGGAGTTTGCGGTGGAGCCGGAGCGAGCTAGGGTTTTGATTAGAGAGTTGCTTGAGTTTGCGAAGAGGCGGGTGCCTAGGGCGGCGTGGGGGTATACGAAGGTGAGGCTGATTGAAAACGGAGGATTGGAGGGGTTGGAGAAGGAGGTTAGAAGGGGCATCTTGGAATCTTGCAGTCAGGAGCTGAGGGCATCCGGCTTTTCATTTAGGGATGACTGGGCATCTTCTATCACAGGTCTGTATAAATGTATTTCTTTTTCCGTTATTTGTTTACTTCGGTTAGTTATAATGTTTTGGAGGGTTGTTTAGAAGGTTTAGTATTATAAAAGTTTTATTTTTTATTTTTCAGGCTTTACTTCTTTTCAATCAAATGTAGCTTTACGCCTTTGCCTATGCATGGGCTTTGGCTAAAGATAACTAATGGAAATTTATTTAGTTTTCTTAGTTAGTTGACGTTGAAAATATTGAAGCATTTAATCTGAAAACATATTAAGTGGGTGTTAATGAGTAACAACAGAGATAGATAGGAATGAGAGGGAAATAGAGTGATTGAGAGAGAATGTCTTATAATGGTCCTCTCTCAGTGTCTTCCTCTTGTTACACATGTACTGCTGTTTGGCACTTACCGACTATTTACTTTCATCTCTTCTTTATTCTCCAAACAATTATTTTTCAAGTCTTCGACATCATCAAGCATTCTTAAATAAAGTTACAGCCATTTTTTCATGATTTGTGCTTACATGCATCTAGGCAACTGAACTTCACATTGCTTATAATAATGAAGTAATTATATTTACTCTCTAATCAGTATTAAACATTTGTCTTTACTGAAGATGCTTGTCTTAAATGTTACTATTTTCTCCCATTGCTAAATGTTGCATCATCATGGAAAGCCCTTTCTGAATTCACCCTTACTTTGACCTTACTGATGTTGCTTATGATTAAATTCTTTTATCATCTAACTTGCTTGTTATTTTACAATTAATATATTCAAATGATTTTATATAAAGTAAATCGGAAGCTTTTCAATTACCAGGCAAGCATCTAGGCTTGTCTGGGTGGAGTCATCCTTGTGTGATTCAAACTACATGTTTCCTGCCAGTTCATTTGGGTTAGCTGGAGGGTGAGTGTTGTGAGTGATTTGTCATTTATGGCTTCATCAAAGATTTATGAGAAAGTTGCAACATGCAGACATTTGAATGATGCACTTCTCAAGTTCAATCAAAATTATAAAAGATGCCTTTAGTAGGGATTTCCAGAAATTCCCCTTATGGAATAAACCAAATACTTGAATTCATATGTGGCTTGCATGCAACTATCATTTTTCATAAGCAACAATTGCTTATTTGACATTATATTCTTTTGATAATATAATTTCAGAACATCCATCCACATTTAATCTGACTGAAAGGTTACTTAAATTCTGCACTTCTCCTATGCATCAACTTATTAATGTTATGGATTGGTGGGTAACTTTGTGAATATCGTGATTGTAATTACTTTTTTTAACGTCCATTTTGCAGGTCAAGAAAAAGGCATTTATGCATGGGTTGCCGCTAACTATGCTCTTGGTACACTAGGAGCTAATCACAAAGATACCATGGGAGTAATTGAACTTGGTGACACTTCTACACAGGTTTTCTCGTCTTTTCTTCAAACCTTTTTTCTTTTCACGTAATTGCATCATTATTTTTGGGTGAAGGGCTTACATCATTTTTTTGGTGAATGTCCTTAAAAGGAAGATAGAAAACTTAATTCTTTTACTTATTTCATGTATGCCAAACACAACATTGTAGATCCGTAATCGTTTCTTGTTTTCGTAGATCCGTTATTTTATTTATTTTATATTAGAATAACCCATGATCTCCATATCACTATGGAGCTAAACTAACCAATTCACTTAGCATGGCCCTTGTTTAGCCCTTTTATGATTGGTATTGCCCCTTCCATGATGAAATTGTGGGAGCTTTTTTGCTATCTTGTTCACATTTTCACTTGTTTAAAGGAATATAAATTTAAGTGTTGCAGAGATGAGGATGCTCAGGTGGATGAGTGACTTCACTCTTAGAGATAGAATGCGAAACGAGTATATACGTGAAAAGTTGGAGTAGCTCCAGTGGCACATAAGATTAAAGAGAGTTGCCTTAGATGGTTTGATCACATTTTATATTGACCTTCCAATGACCAGGTTAGGAGAGTAGATGTAGTAGATTTTGTCTATGTTTGTGCAGGTAGAGGTGAACCTAAAAACATATGGTTAAAAATATTAGAAATGACATTTTTTTATTAGATTTAAATGAGAATTTGACTCTTAACATAACACAATGGAGAAAAAAGATTCATGTAATGACACTCTCTAATCTTATTTTCTACTGGAACTACTCCAACCTTTTTACGTATATGCTTGTTTTGTATTTTCTCTCTAAGAGTAAAGCCACTCATCCACCTGAGCATCATTATCTCTGTAACACTTAACTTAATATTATGCCTCTCTTTTAATGGCCAACAATATGCGACATCAAACATTGCAGGTATCATAACCATCTTATAGAATTTCCCCTTAAATTGAGGGGTACTTTTCTATTACAAAACAATCCCAATGGTCGATGCATTCCTCCACTTCAACCATCCAACTTGAATTATACTAATAATATCCCCCATCTATTTCACCATCTCTATGAACAATAGATATGAGATATCTAAAACATGTACTCTTATAAATGACTTGATCGCCCAAACTCACAATCCCCCACTAGATCTATTACTACTAAAATTACACTCCACGTGTTCTATTTTAGTTATACTCAAACGACAACCTTTAGACTCTAATGTTGACATCCATATTTAAAGTTTACCTTTAACTCTCTTTCTAGTATTTTCAACAAGAAGAATATCATCAACAAAAAGCATACACTAGGGTACATCCTCTTGCATGTGTATGGTAAGAACATCCATGACTAAATAAAAAATATATGGGCTTAAGGCTGATGATCCTTGATATAATCCAACTGAAATAGGAAAATATTTAGTCAAACCACCTTGTATTTGAACACAAGTAACAACTCCTACATGCATATCCTTAATTACTTTGATATAAACATTATTAACTTGTTTCTTTTCTAGAACTCTCCATAGCACTTATCTTAAAACTTTATCATATGCTTTCTCTAAATCAATAAATAGCATATGTATATCCTTCTTATTTTATCTATACTTCTTCATCAACCTCTCAATAAATGTATGGCTTTCATAGTTGACCTTGATATGAATCCAAATTGATTTTGAGAAACATTAGTATCACGTCATAAGTTATGCTCAATCAATCTCTCCTACAACTTTAAAGTATGATACATTAATTTAATACCTCTATAATTCGTACAATCTTGTGCATCACATTTTTTCTAAAAAATATGAATCAACACACTTATTCTCCACTCATATGACATATCGCGTGTCTTCAAAATAATATTAAAAAATTTAGTAAGTAAAAAAAATTCTTCATATTCTAAGCATTTTCACACATCTATTGAAATATTATCAGGTCCAACAGCTTTTCCACACTTCATTTTCTTTAAAGCATCTTTAACTTTGGTTTTACTAAAACACTGATAAAAATAAAAATATTTATTTTTATTTAAGATGCTAAGATCACTAAGGTTTTTTGTATTCCCACAATCTGCATTGAAAAGCTTAGCAAAATATCTCTCATCCACCTTTGTTGAATACTTCTTCTATTAAAAACACTTTTTGATTTTCATCCTTAATGCACTTTGCTTGAATTAAATCCTGACTAATATCTCTTTGTTTGGTTATTTATACATATATCTTTCTCCATCTTTAATATATAATCTATTGTATAAATCATTAAAAGCTAATTTTTTTATTGCTTATTGCTTTCTTAGACTCCTAATGAGCCTTTTTATATCTTTCCCAATTTTTTTAGAGTTTTACATCTAAACTGATTTTTATGGAAAACTTCTTATTTTTTTATATTTTCTTGCACATTTTGATTTCACCAACTATTTTTACTATTAGGAACTTTTCATTTTGATACTCCAAGCATATCTTTTGCAATATTTTTTATATCACTAGCTATTTTTTCCTACATAATATTTGCTTTTTCATTCACAGAAAATATCTTAAGATCTAGAATCTTACTCTCAAAAATATTTTTGTTAGTATTTTTTATTTCAATCTAATCTTAGAACAATATTTTACTTTATTTTCACATTCTACTCCTTCATCTTAATGTTTAAAAATAATAAGCGATGCTGGGTACATAAATTTTCATTCAGAATAATTTTATAATCTTTGCAATCTAATCGATCTATTTTCCTTATAAAAAGATAATCAATATGAGTTTTATTATATTCACTCTTATAAGTGATGATATTCGCATATTTTAGCAATAATAAGGTATTAATAATTACAAAATCATAAACTAGAGCAAAATCTAATATGGTCTTACCACTTTTATCAGTCTCCTCAAATTTATGGCTATCATGAATGCTTTGAAAATCATCTACATCTCTACTTAAATGTCCATTTAAATATCCTCCAATAAAAACTCTTTCTTCAAGACGTATCTTTTATACTAGTTCTTCTAAGTCATTCTAAAATTTTAATTTTTATCACATATCCAAATCTACTTGAGAAACATAAACACTTATAATATTAATAATCTTAGCATTAGCTATAATCTTTACATCTATAGTTATATCTTCAATTCTATTAAATTTTACAACGTTACCCTTCAAACTTTTATCTATAATCATATCTACACCATTTCTAGTACAATTCCCACCTGAATACTATAGTTTAAATCCTAAACTATCAATCTCTTTAACCTTCTCTTCAACCCATTTAATTTTTTGAATGCATAAAATATTTATCTTCCTATGAATTATAATATATATTAATTCATAAATAAAAGCATTATGTAAGATGTTTAATGTAGAAAATGTGCAAGGAACATGCAAAAAAGAACCAATAAAGTCTTAGAAGAAGAAGATATTTAGGCGGTGGGTTTTGAAACCCTTCGCCATGTAGTAGCAGGTGCAGGATGAGAAGGCAATAGAGTTGAGATGGCAAATCTTTTACGGAAGTAATCGGGCTAGTGTAGAAAGTGAAAGGTCTTGCTTTAGTGCTCATAATAAAAAAAAAAAAGAAATAAAAAAGGATGATAAAGCTGAAAGGGTTAAATTTATGTTGATTTGACACAACAGAATATATTGCTCAACATATATGCAATTAAAAAAAAATGAAGAAACAAACTAAAATTTGCATGATTTTAGCAAACCATCGAAGGTAAATAATGTGCTCGTTTGAGGTGCTTAACACCTAGGCCTTATTTTCTTGTGTGATGTAGGGGTGTCAATAAATGACCTGAAGTAATTTGGGTTTAGTTTGATCTAACTATTATTTGGGTTGGGTGCGGGTCTAAAATTTTGACCATTATTAATTTTTGATTTGGGTTGACGTGAAAAATTGACTTGACTATCATTGGAGTTTGGGTTAAATGGGTCAGGTTTGGGTTAAACGGACCATGTTCGAATTGAGCGGATTGTATTTGGGTTAATCTGAAAAATTGCGCAAATTGCACAATCTATATATTAAATGGTTCAAATGGGTCGAGTTAGTATTAGGCATGTTTGGGTCAGTTGATTTGAATCGGACAATAAATGGGTTGGATTCAGGCCAAGCATATTCGAATTGGGACAAATTTGGTTAGGACTGAAACCTGATCCGCCAATCTGAATTGACACTCCTAGTGTGGTGCTATCACATAAAGTGGAATGAATTTGGGGAAATTGCTGATAGCTTGTTTTCTAAACTGCTGTGATAAATGAACTCTTTTGGTAAAACAACTATAAATTAACAATAATTGAGTAAATGAAAAAAAAAGACATGATTGGTTATTAACAATAATGTCAATTCTCAATTGTAATTATCTAAAATGTATTATAAATAAATAATTAAAAATTACATATTTATGAATAAAATTAAAATTAGAATACTAATTAAAAATTTATAATGATTTATAAGAACCAACTTTTTTAATGAAGAAATAAATTTCATAACATTCACCCATTAAAAGCACCTAATATAATAATTAAAAATAAATTACAGAAAAATGAATATCAAAATAGATTAAGGGTACATCTATCCTAAAAAATTTTAATGTAGTTTTGAATAGCACTACATTTTAGAAAGCATACCTGCGTAGGTTTTTCATACCCTTATTTTTTTCGCTTTTGCATGGCTGAAAATTAGAATTGATTTAACTTTAGTAACCTCTAACAATTAATTCTGTTGCCTTGAAACACAATCAATTAACAAAATTCATTGTGAAGTGGGCCTTAGGTCATGGTGCGAAATAGTCTTCTTGTTGGAATGTTTTGTTTGGCAATATGCCATGTGCAAATTACTATGGTGGTGCCTTGGCTTTTCTAACTTTTTAGGTTGCTGAAGTGAAACTGTTCCATAAGCACATGTAGAATATGTGATATTAGAACCAGCTATTTTTTTCATGGTTAATATATTACCAATAGACTCATACAATTAGTATTTGTGATATTAGAACCCGATGTTAGGTTCGATTCATGGTTCCTTAAGCTGTTGTCAAATAAGAACCTTACCTAAAAGAATAGTGCTTTCTCTAATTCAATAAAGGATACTAGAAACTTTTAGTTCTGTGTGATATCTGATTGTGTTGATCAATCTAGTTCTACTATTGCCTCATATCTCAATTCAGTTTGTTGAGAGGTCCCCCCCCCTTCTTGGTTCGGGTGTCTTGCACACGAAAATTTTTCCCGTACAATGGCCTGACACTGTGTACACAAGCATCCCGTCGTTGTGTACCCGAGTGCCCTGGCACTATATATTTTTTGGGTGAAAAAGATAGAGAACGGAGCGCTGTGGCGCCGCAACGCTCCAGACAATGGTGCCACGACGTTGTCAGGCAAATTGAATAACAGAGATTTGAGTGTCGTGGCGCTCTAAACTGGCACCGCGATGTTGAGAGATGGGCTGACAGATTTCTTTTTTGTTTTTCATCAACGGTGGCATCTTTTGGTGGTTATTGTGTGGAGTTGTTCTTTGTTCTTGTGAGAGAACGGTGCAAGAGAGAAAAGAAGCAAGAAGAGAGAGAGAGAAGAGATATTTGTACTATTTCCCCCATATTTTTATAGTGGATTCTTGGTGTGGTATGGCTTTGTGGTTTTTTCCCTGTTTCATATTTTTACATGTTGAATCTTGGTGTTTTTTTTGTTTATGCTGCATTTTATTTCTTGTTTGTTTCGCTGTGTGGTTTACTTCCATCCCCAATAGAAATAACATTTTTTATTTAATGTTTTGTTCTATATCCATAAATTTGTAATTTTATGACTATGCAGGTTACATTTGTCACAAGTGAACAACTTCCCATGGAGTTTTCTAGGTTGCTTCGACTACCTGGGATGACTTACAAGGTCTATAGTAGCAGTACTAATTACTATAGCCAGGTATCCCTTGCTTATTATTTTTAATATTAATGCCATAATCATTTGACCATCATTAAAATTTGTTGTGGAGCTACTCAAGTTTTCAAATATTGTAAATTTACTTCTTCAAGGATCGACATTGTATTTATTTCTTTTTCTAATGGTTGTAAATATGCTTACAAATGCAAAGTATCTTTATATATGTTTTTTTTAGATTATATAGTTCTAAGTGATAAAATAATCATTAAAATAAGTTAAAATGAAGAATAATGGAGAAAATATTTTGAAGATAGAGAAGTTTGATTTAGTAAAACAAAAATTGAAAAATAATATATATTTTTTGGGGGTATGATGTTAATAAACGTCATTCATTATTATAAAAAATTAAAATTAAGGTGATACTTAGATGTCATAGGTTTATGTATCTTGGATCTATTATGCAATAAAATTTGGATATAAATTATTATATAACTTCTTGGGCTGGATAAGAAAAGAAATAAAAAAAAAAAATCTTGGGCTGGATAGTTAAAAGTGGAGGAGCACTTGAGAGTTTTGTGTGATAAGAGGATATCATAGAGGTGTAAAGGTAGATTTTATAAAATCATAATTAGATTCGTGATATTGTATGGATCGAAATTGTGGATTATAAAAAATTTCATTGATATTTAATTGAGTAAGACAAAAATGAGTGTTAAGATGGATGTATTGCAAAACTAGAATGCATAAATTAAGAAATGATTATATTAGAGGAAATGTTTTGGTGATCTCTATTAAATTGAATATGACTAAAAATAGACTAAGTGTTTTGAATATGCATAATGGAGTGTGAGAAACGCACCAATTAGATGCATAGATAAATTAATGTCAAAGGATTATGAAGAAAAAATAACCTTAGGTTATATAAATAGAAATTGTTCAAAATGATTTATGAAGCAGGGGTTCAACACCGCAGACAACACTTAGTAAAAACAAATGGAAAATGAGGTTTCATGATACTGACCCAAAATAATCGAGATATGACTAATAATGATGCTGATAATGATGACAACTTATTGCAGCTTGCAAGCTATCAAGGCTTGTTGCAATGAGATATGGTTTGCTTGAGTTGAATGAGAGTTGGTTCATCTCAATATGAAAATAATGTAGTCTTGATAGTTTTATTATTTCATTTCAATCTGAGGTATAAAATAGTCTTGTTGGTTCGATTCTCAACCAAATCCCGACAAACCAAGATTAATTTGACTTGTCCCAAACTGGCTTTAATTTACATTTGACCAAATTTAGAACTAAATATTGCGATTTGGGTTGGCTTAGTTTTTGGATGTGGAAGTTTAAAGTTAAACTTGATTTAAATTGCTATATAGTTTGATCTTGTAAAATATGTATCCATATATTTTACTTAATAAAACACATTAATGCCTACATATGTAGTACTTCTGCACTGTTTTTCTCATTTATATGGTTAAATTTCAAATCTTCAGGCGGGTCCAAAACCCAATGAGTTAATTTACGAAGCATTGGAATGAGTGTGGAGTGCTGGATATAAGAGTGACAAGGAATAGTGGATAAGCTCACAGATGGTTCTTTCAACAATTTCACTCCTTTGGAACAGGTTTTTAGACAATCAGAACCCTCCTAAGTTGAATCTAGTAACTAGAGGTTGCTTCCAAGCCTTCTTGGCTTTTGATCCTTGTGCCAAATCGAGAATGTGGTGTGGTGTGTGTGTGTGGGGGCGCGCGTGCGCCGGGGGGTGGGGGGAGGATAAGTGGGTGGTTGCTGCTATCCTTGCTCCTACAAGTTGGAAATAGAGAAATGAAAAGAGAGATAAATCGAAGGGAGAGTATTAAATTTCAGATTTTGGGGAATTAAAATTGATTTTCATTGCTTAGATTAAATTCTATTTATACAAAAGGCTAAATCAAATGACTAATTAAATGCATGAATCAATCAGAGAATCCATCTTTAAAATTCAAAATAGATTACCACTTATCCTAGATTCTAGATAATTAATCTCTAAATTCAAGGATTGACTACTTTTTAAGCTTAAAAACTAAGAGAAAGATAAAAAGAAAATGATAAGAACTATTGATTCAATCCTAAATGATGGGCTGAAGAACCAATGGTCCCACTCTTGAGCCCAACTGGCTGACTCCAAGTGGTTCAACTTTCCATCTTTGGCTGACTGCAACTGATTTGATGGCTGAAAGGTTTAGATCTGCTTGGATCTTAAGCATAATCTCTAGCACTCAATCATTTTAGAGAGGGTCGAGTCATCTTGGTTTGGCCCAAAATGATAGATCCCGTTCTAAAAAATGTAAAACTAGAATTGCCATGAAGTTCCTATAGGATCAATGTAGTTAGCATTTTTGGTTTCTTTGAAGTTAAATGTTATGTTTTTATGGGCCAAAATAATGCTTCATGCCACGATTGATTATATAAATAATGTGTTGTCCTATAATTTGATGCAAATCTACACCTTTAGTGAAGACACCAATGTTTAAGCTGGCAAAGGACAACAACATTCTTTAATAGATCTTTGGAGTTCCATATTGGGAACGTTGCATGCTTATTTGCTTTATCATGATTCTTACCTTAGTCACTTCTCAAATATATGAACCTTTTGTTATTTATGCCAATCCAGTTTAATAGATTAGAGCAGTTGTGGGGTTGTACTATATTTTTAGAATATTGTTATTTCTCCCCTTTTTCTAATAAATGAAGAGTTCTCATCTTCCTTATTGTCTTTTAAGGATAGAGCTTGGGAATCATTGCATAAAATGTGGACTTCCAGATTATTGACAAAAAGTAAGATATCACTTCTGCTCGTCCAGTATTTGATATTTGATTTGGTATTTTGTAATGTTGGGACAAATACTTTGTTAGTGATATAATTATTATATCATAAGCTCCATTTTGTTGTAAACTCCATTTTGTTCCTTTACATTTCTTTTATGATACAAATAGTTTATGAATAATTTCTTTCTAGCTTATGTTTATCTTAAAATTCGCATTGAGTGAAAAAATAACATGTGCATGCATGTTTTTTTTTGGCACTACATAATAGTTTCATGTTTGATGTTTATGAACATATAAATGCACAAGCATGTTCAAAATTACACTCTAAGCTGTTAATTCTTGTAAATAAATATTGAAATAATTTCATGTATTTGAATGTTCATGTGTGTAGATGCCACGGGCTTGTTGATGCAGGATTCTTAAGGTTGGTTTATGGTTCTTAATGCAATGACTATAGATTATGCAAAAGAAATAAGTATTCATAGATCAAAGATTACTTATTCAAAACTTTTGCCTTAATTTGGTATAAACTCAAAATATGTGAAGGCTGAGCCAACATGAAAATGCAATGATTTATAAAATTTAAAGAAATCAAAAAGTAATTTGAACTACAAAATCAATTAGCAACTTAATTTTCACACTGCATTGGAAATCCGGTTATGAAAAAACTGATCAAAATTAGGACTCTTGTAACACCAATAGTGAAATATTTAGGAAGGAAAATATCAAGATAAAGCATCACCCAAGTGAAGAAAATCCAGGTTATATTTTGGGAGAAGGAGATATCTTCCCCCAAAAGTTATTAATTTCATTTGCATCGACTTGAGGAATTTCACATTCAATAGACACTCACAGGGTTGAAAGTGGAAAAGTAGAAATTTTATTGCTAAAGAATTAATTTAAATGCCTTTCATTTTCTTTATTTATAATCATAAAAATCTCTATAGTTGGTTATCTTTAGATTCTAATTCTGAATTATTCAATTCAAATAGTTCTTGATAATAGGAAGACTCCAGATATCATTAATCAGGATTTATGAGTGATTAATTGCACAAAAAGCCTCTTGAAATTGGTTAATGATAAGCCTGAAGATGTTCATGATCATTTGTTTTGTGCGCTACAAGTCCATGCAAAAGATCGCTACAGAAGTGCTCTATGCCTTTTTGCTTCTAGAGAATTTAATGAAGGGTTCCACACCAAAGATTGCTACAGAAGTGCTCCATGCCTTTTTGCTACGAGAGAATTTAATAAAGGATTCCACTCCAAAGATCGCTATAGGAGCTGCTTGTAACCCGCATATTTAAATATAAGCCCTAACCTTTAAAACAATAAAAAAATTTAGCTATAAATGGCATTAAAACCTAACAATGAAAGATGAAAGCAAACCCTACTACAGGATATAATTAACAACGACAATATGGATTGTATGCCCTAAAAATTTTGTAAGTTACAGAATTTTCAACCACTCATTGAATGCGGTTTTGCTATAGGAATCAAATCACATCAACACGATAGAGAGAAACACCATAGCAGTTAAGTAACATAACCAGTGCAATAATTGAACCAAGAATAGTTCTTTTCCATCTGCTTGAACTGAACTAAATGAAGGTGAACGAACTCAATAAAAAAGCATAATGATAGATGACACATCCCGTTCTCGAAGGCCATATTTTCAAAGGCAGTTTAAACAAATAATAAAATTGGAAAATTATAAAATAAAATAACTACTAAACATTGAAACCTACTGAACTTGCTTAGATCATTTATTTGCTTCCTATTTTTGATGATTATAAACTTATATCTCCATCAAATCCGGCTGACTTTAAAATTTGACTTCAATGAATTTAACATTTTATATTCATTTAACATATCAGGACATAAACTTATTGAATTACATATTTTAAGTTTATAATTATGTTATCTTTGGCTTGGCTTTCTAGTTTTCCCACATTTGATCCAGACTAGGAAATTATCTTTAGGATTTATTTAAATTAGATTTTTTTTTAATTTATTTTAATTGAAATTATAACTAATCATCATTTGAATAATAATATTAGGTTTAAATCCGAATTATGTGGTAGGATTAACTTAAATTTGCTTTCAATGTTATCTTTTGTAACCTTAATGCTATAAAATATGTATTCCTTGATTGTATTTTGAGCAGTTAATTGATAAATGAAAATTTAATCTTACTATTATCCTCTCTCCTTTTTATCTTGTGTGTGTTTCTCTGTCTTGTAATACCCGATTCTTCTATTTTAATCATGGCTCTACATCAATATGCCAGACTTAAATTTTAAGTTGAGCTTCGGTTAGCAATAGAAACAATTTGGTCTATCCAATTCGACTTCATATAATTTTATTTCTTTCTCAGAAACGTCTGTTATTCTTAAACTGCTTACTGCTATCTGTCATCCAGTGTTTGACTATAGATCTTGGATTTTAATTAGCTTATTAGATGCTTGAGGTGAGTTTAATTTTCAGAAGAAGCACTGCAATGAAGGCAATTTTTGCAAGTTTCTTTAGCTAGGATTAAACATAGGCATGCTTTTCTATCTCAACAGGTGGTTAAAAGTAAAAGGTGAATCTAGATTCATAATAACTAAGTTATGAATTTTACGAGTAGGTTTAACTTGATTTTGATTTTTTTTTTTTTAATTTAGATCAATGTTACCTAGTATATGTAGCATAAGAATTGAAGTTTTTTTCATGTGCAACAGGCTTCATCCTTTTTGATACAATATATTGTTCCATTGTGTTATATTAGCTTTCACCAGTCTTATGGAGTTTATGGTATATATTCTGATTAGCATCTAATTCTAGCTTTTCTTATATCAGAAACTTTACCTTTATTACACTTTTTAAAAAGGCTGAATTAAGTATGGTGGACCTTACTTGTTTGTCAAATTTTTACTAAATTTACAGCATCAAATCTTGTAGAAGAATCAGTAATGTTTCCATGCATCCCCAAGGGCTATAATCAAACATCTGATCATGGTATCCTACCCAATTTCAAGGACAGAAAAATCTGGAATTTTAATTTGCAAGGAAATTTTAAAGCATGCAGAGGAGATATCCATGCTCTTTTTCAAGAACAAGGTATTATTTTTGGAATCCATAATTTAATTCTGAAACTTTGCGCTAGAAAAATAGTATTTCCCTTTATATGATTTACTTTCTTTTTTGGGTTTTCTCCTGTTGTTGATTACTTGGTCACCTAGTTGGTTTTTAAATTAATGACCGAAGCAGTTTTTTTTCAAACATGCACTTGTGTGCCCACACGCACATAGAGTGGTTCATACGACCAGACATGAATGCTTTTAAATGTGAAAAATGTGTTCTGAAGTGACATGATACCATGTAAGGAGAAAACACCAAAAATGTGTCTCAGGTGGGCGGGCTTGGTTTAATAGTTATGTTGCATCTATTATGTTCTAGACTTCACAGGTTGAATTCATGGAAGCAGCCTCTCTGCAATTGCAGTGATAACTGTGTGTCTGTGCGCATCAGTTTCTCAAGGTCGTTAATGAGGGGGCATCATATATTGAATAACTCCTTTTTTAGTACATTGTTCTTGTTATATTAGTCGGGCAGCATAAAATTTCTTCTAATTATTCTAAAAGCTGGACATGAAACAAGTGAAGACATAGATTCTTGATTTATTATGACATGATCCTTTCCTTAACTCTATAACATAAGCCCACATACCCTGCCACTTTATAAGGGGCAGGGTGGTTAATTATTCTTTCAACTGGTTGAATTCTGTAAAATTTAGCTTTCAATATAAACAACTTGTTTTGTTTCAAAGTAAAACATACAAAGTATTAAAAAATGCAATTAAGTGAAGGACTAGATGCTTGTTCAAAATGCAACTCTTAAACAGAATGAATTGAGAAGATCAACAGCCCCAGATTCTTGTGATGTGAGGCCATGTTGATATTGATGATGATGGTTAAAAATTGTGTCATACAAAATTGCGCAAAATAAAGCTTGTACCTCAATTAGCACTCCGACAGGAATGGTAGAGAAATAGGGATTGATAAATATACTCTATTCTTGTGGTAAGGCTAATACTGATGATGAAAACTGATTGGCGTTCAATTTCAGTTTTCTAATTACTAGCATGAATTTAAGTATGCATGTACAGAATTGCTTATAGTTTGAAGTTTATGGTATACTTATTGAAAACTATTTTGTTATTTTTTATAATTAATTATGTTAATTAAAACATGCCTGCTTTTGGTATTTTGAACAATTCAAAAACATAAATTATGAATATGTTATAGCTTATTTCATCGAAAGCATATCCAAAATGGTTGTTAAATGAGCAATGGATTATTGTTTAGCAAAATTTCAAATTATATATTTAATGTTTAGTCCAATTGCAAGTTGAAGAGGAAGGCTGCTACTAAGGATTCTCTTTTTTTTTTTTCCTCATTAAACCATAGCATAGAATTTGATATTTTCCTTTTTACCTTTTTGAATGATAGCCATAGAATTTAGCAATTGAATAAGAAAAATTGCAGCAAAGTTTTTATGTTGTCCTTTTGTTAAATCTAAAATTATTTGTGAATCACATGTAACTATGATGATAAATATTGAGTGAAAAGAAAAAAAAATTGAATAAAGAGAGAAAAGTAGAATTCTTTAGTGAGAAGCTTTAATTTTTTTTTATAAAATAAACTCAATTACACAAAATTACGTAAATTAAGCTCACTCAACCCCTTATTTATAGATTTGGTTTGGGGCCTGAGTGATACAAAAATGACTATATACATGGTTGTACAATAAATAAGAGAAAGATAACATAATTGTTTAGTTTGTTGGGAATGCTCGACATGATCAAGTTGTCCATCGAGCTCCTAAAAAGTCGGAGGCTTGGCATGTATTGATGATCGAATAGTCAAGTAATTGATCAATAATTTCTCTTATGAAAAAGTTGTTCCCTCAAGCAGTGGTTATGTTCGATTTTGTAGATTCTACTCGCGTGGTTGGGCCGTGCTTTAAAATTGCATTCGACCACTTAAGGTGAGGTCTCTTATAGACCGACAAATCTCTTTTGAGCTGAAACTGAGTAGACCAAGTCGGCTTGGCTTGAATAACATCAAATTAGCTTAAACCAAGTTTACTTATTTTGAACCTTATTTTTTGTACATTAAGTTGTACATTTAGTTCCTCGATTCTCTTATACATTTAAAATTTATTCTAAAAAATATTCTTCACTAACTATTCATAAAACTCTAATAATTTTTTTTAATGTTGGATGCCAGTTAATCAATTTAATGTTGACTTTTGAGATATCCTTTTGTCAATATCATCAAATACTTAGCCTATAAATAAAAAAATATTATTTTTCATTCAAATGCTTCTTCTACATTCCTTCCTTGCCTTTGAGCTTTGAATACTCATTCTTGTAAAAGATGGAATCTCCAAAAGTGTAAAAATCAATATTTCTAAGGATGATATAAATTCAAGTCTATTCGGCAAATGTAAAGAGGGAACCTCTTCTGAGAAGAAGAAGTGGGAAAGAGTGATAATAGAGGAGATGAAGTCAAAGACTGAGATAGAGGACACGAAGTCAAAGACTGAGATCTGATAGTTCACTGCCTCATCAAAGTTTTTGGCCTATCAACATTTTTGTTTTCTACTGGTGTTGAAAAAGCTGCTTCTTTGCCAATGACTGCTCTCCCACCAGCTAGCGTTGAAATTAGGAGAGAAAATAAAAATAAAAATTTCTTTAGGAAAAATTAACATAATAATATTTATAAATTTAATTATGCTAAGTGACTTTAATGTTATTCTTTTTTCTATGAGAAAGCTCATAGGTGAGATGCCAATTGTTGAACCTCATACTCGCCTAGAGTTTGCTGGGAAAAGAGTAAAGTCAACAAGGTGGTGGTTCTTTTAGAAATAGATATTGTTTAGTTGCCCGCTAAGATAGATGAGGCTGAAGTCGTCCAACCATCTACTGTAATAACTGAGGCTGAAGTTGCCCAACCGCCTATTAAGGTAGTAGTAATTGAAGTTGCCTAGGTGCATGTTGAGCAACAAATAGGGCTGAGTATTGAAGTTTAGCTAGAAAGCTCCTAAAGGTATAACCTTTTTAATTCCTTGTAATTTTTTGAATGAAATCTTTCCTCTTTTAACCTCCCCTTAGGTTGAGTTGGCTGTAGAGAAGGGTCCCAAGAAACGAAGCGGTGGCGATAGTTGAAATCACTCAGGCACCTATAAAGTAAAAAATGTTGATATGCTGAGTATTGAAGTCATCGAAAAAGCTCTTGAGAGTATGACTTTTTCAATTCCTTCTTTGGTAAAATTTTTTGTTAACCTTCTTGAGAAGTCTATGTAATGTTTTCTGAATGAAATTCTTTCTTTTCCAATCTCTCCTTTGGCTGAGTTGGCTACAGAGAAGGATCCAAAGACACCTTCCAGCTTAGTCAACTTGAGTCCATAGACCTTGAGAAAAATCCTTGGGCCGACTATTGATAAGGGGAAGACGTCGATTTTAACTTTGAGAGATTACTCTCGGGATGTACATAACACAAATTCTAATACTCCCACTGAACTTTTTGAATTGGCGCTTTTAAAAATGGTTGAGGAATTAGAATTTGTATTATGTGAAGTTTGCCAACTGAAGTCGTCCATGCTTGCTATGGTGGATGAATACGAATTAGAATAGGTTGACTTCAACAAACAAATTGCTGAATTGAAGGAGTTATTCCTTGACTCTATTGAGACTTTTTGCCAAGTCACTGCTATACAGGTTGAAGTTGTCGCTAATCGAAGATACATGGAATTCACTAAATTAAATCAATTTATGGATGGAGGAGAGTTCATTTTGAAGCAACTAATTGATAGTAGCAAGATCTCTCGAGAAGTCACTGTAATCCTTCTCTTAAATTTTTCTTTAACTATTTTCTTTTCTTTGAATGGTCAAGTATGAGCCGCCCTTTGTAATGAATGAATGACGAGTGTAATTTTGGTTGAATGAATAAAATATGTATTTAGTTTTTTCTTTGAGTTGTTTTATTAATGTCTGACATGATTATCTGTTATTGTTTAAATTATAAAATATTAGAATGATTATTGCGTATCATAAAATATGAATTTAAAATTGAAATAATATAATTTGAAAGGACATGTTTTTGATGTGGATGTGATGTGGCTTCGAAATTACCATCCTTTGAAACTATAAGTGGAGATGAACTTTATTGGAAATTTTGCACTTTCTTATTCCATTAAGCCTTTAAAACTTCCCTCTTCCTTGTCCTTCAGAACTTAGTGTTAGACACTTATTCTTCTTCAAAGTTTGATTTTATGGAAAACAACTTAGTTTTTTTTGGTTTGCTTATTATCCTTTCCCACAAAGCTCTCGAATGTGAACTTAAATTTGATATAGCTAAAGTGCATTTTCGATGGTTCTTACCAAATTCGCATAGTGGAGCAAGGCGAGTATCTAAATGCCATTGTGAAGAATGACCTTTGCTGCTACTTTGATCAATTCACGCTTGACCTTCCCTCCCGTTGTGTTGATAGCCCGTTGATATTATGAATTTCTTTGGAGTCATGCTCTCTCAAATCATGCTGAACAATCTTGCGAGTATAATGACTTTGGTTTGGTATATGAGGAATAAGAATATCCCATTGTTGATTTTACCTTTTCCCCACCTCGACTCTATGAAGGCATTCAAAGGTGACTTCATTCTAGTCTCCTCCAATCACATCACAATGGTCGTCCTGGAGAATAAAATAAAAAAAATTTGAAGAATAGATTCATTTTGGTGAAGCTGGCTAAGAAGTGGCCTATTTCAACGAAGGTGCTTCTCTTCCAAACGAAGAGGTCCCAAATTCCCCTTTTGGGCAAAGTCGAGTATGCTGATTTTATTGATATGAAAGGCTTTGTTTGAAGGTGGAGAAATACATTGATTACAATCTAATGGAGTGGCTACTAGCTTGTAAGTTTCTTCTTTTTTTACTTTGTAGGTTGAGTTCCATAGAACGAGTTCCCTAGTTTTTTTTTTTTTTTTTAAATATATTTTTTTTAATTTTTTATTTTTATTATTGTAGCCTTTATCGATGAAGTCCCTTCTTTAGAACATGATGTTGGCTAATTCCTTGAGGAGACAACCAATGAAGTGGATGAGGATATCTCCCCTTGATAAGGAGGATTTGACATTTGAAGTCTTAAATTAATTTCAGTGAGAAATTTTGATGTGGAAATTATTGAGTCTTAGGCCGATGATGAATAAGTGGTCGAATTTGCATTTGAAGAAGCCGATCAGGCGATCATCCTACCAAGGCGAGCACTCCTCATAAGTCTCCTGCTACACAATAGTGCAAGTATCCAACCTCAGTGAGCTCCCTTAATAGCCGTTATCAACCACAATGTGTATACGAATAAGCAAGGAGGTGGCCATGGTTTGGGCCGAGGGACGAGTTTAGTAAGTCATTGGAGAAATTCTAGGTAAAGGAAAATAAATCGTCGAGCCTTCTCCAACAAAGAAACTAATTTTTTTAAGAAATTAGTGGCAAGATGGTGACTTCTCCACTAGCAGCGAAAAGGCTTTGTTGCTAAATAAAGATCTGTCATTAATATTGATAATTTTTTTTATTCAAAGGTACCAAAGCACGAGTACTCCAACTAGAAAGTCACTACAAAGAAAGATGGTTGATATTCTAGCTAGCATATTACACCATGCAATAATGAAGGCGAATGCTGCTAGTTGACAATATAATTATATCATGACGATCAACTACAAGAAGATACTTCCTTGATGAGGTAGAATGCAACAATGAAAATGTTAGAGTGAAAAGTTGCCGAATTGAATTGAATTTGCCATTGGGAGGATAGAAGACCATAAGTTATGTGGTTGAGGCGTAGTCACGAGGCTGAAGTTGATTTTTGAGAAAGATAATACTCTGTAAATGGTGACTTCCATGATCGAAAAGTAATGAAAAGATTTGAAAGTTGCTCATAAGCGCGTTGATGAGTTCAAAGAACAAGTCAAGCTGGTGCAGGAACATGTGAAGAATTTGAAGACGAGCAGCGAATTCTTTGCGACATTTAACCCAAACATTTAATTATAAAGAAATCTTGCCTGCCAAATTCATGATGGGAGTGAACTTTTGCCTTGATAAGCTAAGGGAAAAGAAAGTCCTCGCTTTTATATATAAGGAGACTTTTAAAGTCTTAATAATATAGTTGAGCTTTGGTGAAGAGAAAGACCGATGAAGAAAGTGCTATCAGTAATTGATTTATATTTTTCTTTTTTTTTCTTTTCTTTTCTTTTGTATAATTTCATATTTCAAGAAAAAATGGGCTTGCTTGATTTCTTGATTTTGTTTGAGTAAAATTCTTCTCTGCAAGCGAGTACTGAATTTTGAATGCTGACTATAAAAGAATGAATGTCGAGCATAAGTTAAAAAAAGAAATTCGAATATCAAATATCAAATATAATAAATTGGCAACAACAACACAACAACAACATCAAACCGTTATCCCATTACGTGAGGTCGGCTATATGAATCTTTTTTCTCCATTGTGTATTGTTAAGAGTCAAATTCTCATTTAATCTAATAAAGAAAGGTCATTTCTAATATTTTCTAACCAAGTCTTTTTAGGTTTACCTATACCTTTTTTAACATAGGTCAAATCTAATACATCTATTCTCTTAATAGGATCATTTACATGACCAAACCATTTAAGGTGACTCTCTCTAATTTTATATATCACTGAAGTTACTCCAACCTTTCACGGATATGCTCGTTTCGTATCCTATCTTTAAGAGTAAATCCACTCATCCACCTCCGCATCCTCATCTTAGCAACACTGAACTTAATATTATTCTTCTCTTTTAATAGCCAACATTCTTTAGTTCCTAGGAAATTATTGAAATTTTCCTCCCATATGGCTTTTGTTCTTTCTCTTAGTCGCTATAGCAACGTTACTCTCCATATTATACTCCTTCGTGTTAATGTGACTTTGATGAGTTCCAAAAACTCAGCCAAAGTCTCTGTTGTTGCAAGCCTTCTACATACTTGAAAGGTCCTTCATGTAGAGCTTGAATTAGAGCGGCATGGGCCACAAACAACTCAAGTCCTTCACATCGATCATTTATTTTTGGAACATGGTGATGAAACTCCTTAGCAATTCGTCCAAGAACAGTTGTTGCCTCATTCGCAATCAAGCCTATGAAATCTTCAACAGACTTTATGCTTTGACAAATTGTGTCACTAATATCCTCTTAAACTCAACGAAAAACGTAATTACGCTGAGTGGCAGATGTAAGAACGACCTCAGAGGCAATTCCTTGAAGGTAGTGAAGAATAACCTGCACTTCAATGCGTCATTGATATCAAGCAATGAGATAGTTGACTTAAAGTAAGCAACGTGGTTGGGAGCATTGTTTAAAATTGCATAATATGAGGCTCGCTTGAGGCTCGCCTTAGTGCAATTCTGATAAAAAATATGTCGAAGTTAATGCCTTGAGATTTTTTTATGAGGCATACATCTTAGTTTGGTTGAGTGTCTTGAGGATCACTTAGAAGTTGTACACCGTCACCTCCTCCTTTAAAACTTATATAGTATTACTCTCATTTTTTATGACAAACATTCATAAAAGTGGAAATGACTGAAATAAATGAAGAACAAGCAGATTGTGAGACATTGAACTTCACAGGATGAGGTAGCGGAGAGACCAATTTGTTGTGACGACGACTCAATTAAAGACCCCCTCAATGATGACAGTGCATATTATTTATGAGTTATTATCAATTATTTTAGTTTTTTTAGGAATTAAATGTGGATGAGTAGGAGCTGGAAATGAAAGAATTTAGAGTTGAACTTGATGTTATATAATATTTTTATACAATTAATATATTTATGTTATTTTGCTCAAATAATATTGGAATTTCAATTTTATTTCACGTAATTTATCACTTGACACTTAATGTCTTTTGCATTTTTATGTTTAGTATATATGTCAAATTGTTACTTTATAGTTCAATATAAAGTTAAATGTCATTCTTTAACATATAAGTATTATATAAAAATCACTTTTAATATTTATTTCCACCTTACACAATTTTTGGATTTTGAGGCTTTTGCCTCAAAATGCCTTGAGGCTTATGCCTTGCCTCATGAATAAAAAACGCCTTAATACCTAATTGCGTAATTTTAAACCTTGGTTGGGGGGATCTGTCCATATCTTATATGAATCCAAGTGAGGTATTATAAATTGTGTTGGAGGCTTGGCCTCAATAATCTCTTTGGATAAAACCTCTGTTTAAAATTGCGCAATAAGAGGCGCGCCTCTGCGCAATTTGATCAAAAAACGCCTCATTAAACATTCACCAACAACGACTTCTCATCAATTCTCTTGCTCAACGAAGATTTGAGGGAGGCTTCTCATTATCCAGATTGTATGTCTCATTAGTGACCGTAGTAGAGGTCAAGGCTTTGGCTCCAGGGCATTATTGTTCTCACAATAGAATTAGAGGATTATTTTGACAACTCCGTCCAAGGTCTTTGAATTTGCTTTATTGCACCGTGGTGATCCTCTTTTGAAATTTCGCAAGTGATTGGACAGTCACGAACTCACGTTTCTCCATGTTGATTGATTCTTCTCCAACCTTTTGCTGTTGTTCTGATTCACATAGTACTCTTCTAGTTAATGACATGCTTTAGTCTCTCTACACCTTTTAGGATGTTGAATTCAGAATTTTCCATGAATTACGCCCAATCATATCGAGGATACTGAGTGAAAACATAAAAAAAGAATCTAGACAAATAGTAATAATTATAGAGTGAGAAGTTTTGAGATTTTTGTAAAATAAGTCTGATTATATAAATTTGCATAAACTGAGCTCACCCATCGACCTAGCTTGTCTTGAACTATGTCAAATTAGCTTGAACCCAATTTTCTAAATGTTTGGATGCATACTCTTAATGTTTTTATTTGTTAGGATCAAAGTTTTTTTTTTAGTTAGGATCAAAGTTGTTTTTATAATTATGAAATATATTAAATAATCAGAAAGACAATAGTTGTCGTGTTTATTATTGTTGCGTCCTGGAGTATTCGCGGCGGTAGAGAAATATTTAGTTTAACGTCTTAGCATTGTACGAAGATCCAGCACACAAGCAGATAAGTGAGAGGGTGTAGCATTCATAAGAGACACCAGAGTTTTTACGTGGAAAACCCCTGAAAAGGGGGAAAAACCACGGGGCCTAGCCCAGTTTGAATGAATCCACTAGTATTTGTAGTCGATTACAAATTAGGCCCTTCCTTAGGAGAAGGCCTTGGATTGATGTAGCAAATGTACATCATATAGATTGCATTACATGGTAGGAGTTACATATACAGGTTTGTTTGGCCTGAAGGATCGTAGTCGGCAGGAGACCTTAGTCGGCAGGAGACCGGGGTCAAAAAGACCGTGTTTCCAACTAGCTTTTGCCTCGAGATTCGTGCCAGATCAAGCTAATTTTGTGATGCCGTATCAATTATATAATATACAATGTATATAGATTCAGATTCTCTGAATGCTGGCAAGGGATGCAGGCTGTTAATTTGACGTGTCACTTCTCGTCAATGTTCTAGAGTCCTCAGCATTCTGCATTTGAATGGCAAAAAGTGAGGAGGATTATTTTATTTGTTTAATTCCTATTCTTATAATCAATAGAATGGAAATATGCGATATTCATCTGAGAAAATGGTGTCGGGCACTAGTATAATACATTTATGATGTAAATTTTTTTGTTTATTTCATGCTTTTATGTACTTAATATTCTGTTTATGACCTCAACTTTAAATTTGAATTCAAAATTTTAAATTATTGTTTCTTCCTTTGACAGATACCTGTACTAAATCCCCATGTGAAACATCACCCATAGTTATTCCTACATTGCAAGGGAAACATTTTTCTACACAGAATTTTTTCTTCACTTCAGAGGTTTATGATTGTCATAGAGTTTCATGATGCCATTTTTCTCAAGAGATTAGTTATAATTTTTGTTCATTTTTCTAATAGTTACTTTATTCTGTCATTCATATAGTTGTTTGGCTTGACCCCACGCACTTCCCTGTTGGATGTGGAAAAAGCTGGACAGCATTACTGTGAAGATCACTGGAGTAAACTTAAACAAGAACACTTTGGTATTGATGAGGCAGATTTGTTGAAGTATTGCTTTTCATCAGCTTTCATTGTAGCCTTGCTACATGACATCCTTGGAATTTCCTTAGATGAAAAGAGGTAATCTTGATGGTTTTTTTTCAACAAGATAAAACTTGTTTATCTTTGGTAGTTAGGTTATACGAGAGCTTTTGAAAATCACTGATTTTGCTCCTTAAAACAATTCGCTAATGCATACACCTATTTATAGAATATACAACAACAACAATATCGAGCTTTTATCCCAATATGTTGGGTTGGCTACATGAATCTTTTTTTTTCTATTGTGTCATGTTAAGAGTTAAATTCTCATTTAAATCCAATAAAGAAAAGTCATTTCTAATATTTTCTTACCAAGTCTTTTTAGGTCTACCTATAAACCATCTAAGGCGACTCTCTCTAATCTCATCTTTAACTGGAGCTACTCCAACCTTTTCACGTATATGCTCATTTCATATCCTGTCTAGACATAGGCAATGCACCTAAAGAGTTTTGGAGAAATTTTTGAGAGGAAGTTAGTTGCGAGGAAAAATTTAGTTAGATAATTTATAGGACTTTTGAAGTGGATCACTCTTGAAAGTATTCTATTGATTCCAAAAGATGCTTTTTTTTCTTTTTGCCACTTCATTTTGTTGTGGAGTGTTAGAATGAGAGGATTGGTGGATGATGCATTCTTTCTAAAAGAAAGATGATAATGGGTGATCAAAGTAATCATGAGTATCATCAGTTCGAAATTCTTGATGTTAGCATATAGTTATTTTTGTAGCATGACGATGAAAATGAGGAGAGTATTGCTAACATCATATTTTTATTTAATAAAGTATACTCATATCATCCGAGTATAATAATCAATGAAGTAGATAAATCTTCTAGCTCCAAAAATGTTGGAGATTTTGAAAGGTTTACAAATGTCAATGTGAATTAGAAAATAGTAGATGATCTATAGTCACTTTACTGAAAATCAACACTACCGTTGCCAGGCCCCAAGTTCTGGATGAGAAAAGTGGAGGGTTGCGTTAGGTAGTCGACAGCCAGCGTAAAACTTGTCGAATAATAATGACATGAATCCTTTAAGTAATTAATTTGCAAGAGGATGTACCTTGGTGTATGCTTTTTGCTTATGATATTCTTCTTGTTGATAAGACTAGAGAGGGAGTTGAAAGTAAACTTGAATTATGGAGGTTAACATTAGAGACTAAAGGTTTTCGTCTGAGTAGATCTAAAACAGAATATATGGAGTGTAATTTTAGTAGTAATAGACCTAGTGAGGGGATTGTGACTTTGGGCGATCAAGTCATTAATAAGAGTACACGTTTTAGATATCTTGGATATATTGTTCAGAGTGATGGTGAAATTGATGGAGATATTATCAACAGAATTCAAATTGGATGGTTGAAGTGGAGGAATGCATCAGGCTTGTTGTGTGATAGAAAAGTATCCCTCAAACTTAAGGGAAAATTCTATAAGATGGTAGTGAGGCCTACAATGCTTTTTGGTGCTGAATGTTGGCCATTAAAAGAGAAGCATAATACTAAGTTAAGTGTGGCAGAGATGAGGATGCTCAGGTGGATGAGTGGCTTTACCCTTAGAGATAGGATACGAAATGAGCATATATGTGAAAAGGTTGGAATAGCTCCAGTAGAAGATAAGATTAGAGAGAGTCGCTTTAGATGGGTTGGTCACATAAAACGGTAGCCTTCCAATGACCCGTTTAGGAGAGTAGAGGTTTTAGATTTGACTTATGTTAAGAAAGGTAGAGGCATATCTAAAAAGACTTGGTTAGAAAATATTAGGAATGACCTTTCTTTATTAGATTTAAACGAGAATTTGACCTTTAATAGGACACAATGGAGAAAAAAGGATTCATGTAGCCGACCCCACGTAGTGGGATAAAGGCTTGATGTTGTTGTTGTTGTTGTTGATGTTTGACAATTTCACAGGTCTCATAATAAAAAAATTTCATGTTTATAGGTTAAAAAATAGAAGGAAATATACATACTAGAATTTTGAAAGAGGAATGCCCTAGTTTATATTGATTTTTTTTTTTAATTTTTTAATTTAAATTTTTTTTGTTGATGTTTTTAAATGGTTTCTATATTAAGGGTTGAAATGAAAGAATGTAATAAGTGATTTTTATTTCCTAGAAGATATAATTCATCCATTTGTCTAACTTGCTCAATGTTAACCCCATGTTGAGGTTTGAAAATACACAATGATCAGCAAAAAAAAAATTGCTTTGTAGTTGTTGTCTTAAGTAATTTATTGTTTAATAAAAGATTTATTGTAAGATAAGAAACGTGTAGTACATTACTGACGGTAAATGTGAAGAAAATTGATTTTTTTTTTAATATACAATAGTTGTTAGAGAATCATTGACCACTTTTAATTTTTTATTATTGAGGCAAAGTTTGAGGTTTAAAAAAGATTAGCAAGGTTGGTCATGTGGTCAATGCTCTTGGATCTATGATCGAAGTTTTGAGGGATTTAAGGCACTGAAAACACAAACATTAGAAATTATTTCATTTTGATCTAGAGAGTATGGTCTAATGATTTTTTCGGAGAGTTGAGGAAGTTCATGAATTTATCAGTTTCTCCTTGATGGAGTCCTGATTCCATAAGACAGGCCTATTCTTTATGGTAGCCGTTTTTGTCTCTACCATAGTTTAGGGGCTTTCCATGGAATTATCAACATTTTTCTTTGATGTGTCAGTTTTTATTGTAGTAGTTGCATCACAGGAAGAATGCTTTTGCTCTTCTTAAAGGAAAGATTCTGTTGCAGTGTCTTATGTTAGGCTTTGTTATGAAAAATATTTCGGAGGTTAAAGCGCAAAGCATTACCGTCCTTCTCCGTTTCTTGACTCGTAGAAAGAAAAATCTCATTTAGTGATGTTAGATTCTCTATAAAATATTTGAACATGAGCTTGATTGAAGTTATTATTGAGATCTATAAGGAACTGAAATACCTTTTTCTTCTACAAATTACTTGAAAATTATCACTTCATCGTAGCATGTTTTCTTGAGATCTCGGTAATAATCTAGCTTAAGCTAATAAACCTTCATTGCATTGTTGTACTTAATGACATGAATTTTACCTTGCTTGATTATTAAAATCTTAGTTTTGAACTAATAATTGAGGGCAATAACTTTCACTTCTGAGTATGTTTGTTTAATGACGTCCAATATTTCTTTTGTGGTAAAAGGAACATATATCACGCATTGATTTTAGGCAACATGATATTTCACAATCATATCATGATCATGGAATTTGCTTCATCCAAAGTACCGATTTTGGTTCTTTTGGCTATGAATGAGGATCCATAAGATGACATATCTTTCCCTTTCCTTTCAGAAAGGTATTCATAATTTGGGATTATTCTAAATAATTCCTTCATTTAAGTGACATGAGGCTTGTATCCTTTTGAGTTTTACTTTAGCCTAATTTTCACCATGTATGATGATTGACTCATTGGAAGGAAGGTCAGTGAAACCTATCATAATGAATAGATGGGAGAATCTTGACAAGAAGGGAGAACGGGAAAAATGAACTAGATTGGGAGACGAAAACCTTTATATCTCTTTGATAATATGTAGAAAAGTAGAAAAAAATATGAATTTTATTACTTGATTTTGTACGAAGTGTGGAAGTATGTATAGGATCATATAAAATGTTTATAATGAAAATAAATCAAAGCTATTTAAAAAAAAATGTTTCTAAGAAGGGCCTACGTTGTAGCGCATCAAGATTTAAATTTGAAAGAATTATTTATTTTATCTCTTACTTTATTTGCCAAAGCTTCTAAATATCTATCAGTTTTAGTAAATCCAGCAAAAATAACTATAAATCATATACATCAAATATTTTATATTCATTCATTTAAAATACAACTTACAATAGCTCGGGGATTTCGACAATATTAATCTATCCTTTTTAAAGCTCCCGAGCATAAAAAAATAAGTAAAACACTGATCAGCCTTACTCTAGAGGGTCCTGACCTTTTTCCATACCTGAAATCAATAAAAATTACATAATAAGCTTATAAAACCCAACAGTTTACCAAAATCCTATCTATGCAGTCAATGCATGTCAAAAGAATCAAGATATATGCTCCAGTTTTAATCAATATTAAACAAGAAGCTATCGGTATGAATGTTAAACAATCTATGCAATTAATATCAATCAATAGTAAAAATAAATATCATAAGTATAACAAGAATCTTACTAAGCAAACGAAGTCTATCAATCTATAAGAAAATTAATAAAAAGTCTATAAATGTATAACATGCGCTGTTGTGAAACAAACATCAATTATCAATCAATTATATTATTTCTTATGGATCTCTATTATGCTTTTATCAATCATTATGTCATGTATAACTTTATGTCAATATGTCATATAAGTATGTTATAAAAATATATTTATCAATGCATTATACCTGCATAACTATCAATGTTTAATAATATACATTTCATATGTTATGTAATGTTATATCAGTCTCAATGCTTCTATCAATCCTATTTATGTTATCATGGAAATACAAATATGGATACAATTATGAATAAGAAGACATGACATCTGGTTTTAAAGTGGTGTTTCATCCCTCCACATGTCATATCAATCTATTATTAGTTATCAATCACATATTTCAATTATTTCTATTAATCATTTTCTTTAAAAAGTGGCTCTCAATGAATCAATAAAGAATCGTCATTCTCCACTCGTCGGTGTAATCAGTCAATCGGTTTTGGGCTAACATCTAGGATTACATCACAACATTTATTTTAAAGTCTGATCATCCCACCCTCATGGACATAGTATTATTATTTTAATATCCAACTTGTATTAATTATAATGTTCATAGTAGGGGTGTCTAAATGAGTTTTCTGGTTGGGTTTAGGTCCAACCAAAAACTTACCCGCCTTCAATTAGTATTACCCAATTAGACACATGGGCTAGAAATCCTGACTCAGACCTGATACTCCCCTAATTCAGGTTGATCCGACCCGCTAACCTAACCCGTACGGCAACGAGTGTGCGAGGACGAAACACGACTCAGGAGCGAGCGAGCGTGGGTATGAGTGTGGGGGCGAGCGCAACATGGGCACGGGGGCTACCATGCGTATGTTAGCACAACCCGAGTCTTGATTTCTAAACATGACCCAAATTTGCAATTGGGTCAGGATTTGAAACCCAAATTTGACCTGTTTTTCCAAACTGGTTGACCTGAACCCATAATTTTCAAGTCGGGTTTTTAGGTCAGGTACGGATCGGGTTTTCAAGTTATGTCAAATATTGACACCCCTTATTCACAGCCAGCCTTCTTTATTACATGCAAATGTCGCTAATATGCAAATTATTTTCTCTAGGCAAGTCAGTATCTTGTATGAAATATAATAATCTAGGAAATGTAGAGAAATCAATACACTATTCATTAACTTTAAAAAAAAATCATAACTATTAATTTACTTGGTGAAATTGAATATATTCATGTCAATATGTGCAAAATGATGAAAAGTTGAAAACTACAACATACTAAAAGTTACACGTTGGAAGTTTACTAAAAAATGAGATATTGCAACTTTTATAAGTTATGACCAAATTAAAATTAAGAAAAATAAAATAAGCAAAATCAATAAAATCAAAGGCAGGGTAACAGTAGTTTACCTTGAAATGAGCAAATTTCTCAACTGAACTGACTACCAAAAATGACTCGAAGACATCCAAACCCTATCTTTTTTTCTCCTTTCCCTCTTTTCTTATTATTTTCTCTCTTCTCCTTCTCAGTTAAAATGAGTTGGGGATGGGAAATGGCTTTTGATAAATTTTGTAAAGTGGATTTAATTTTTTATAATAAATACAATAAGGGTTTATATGTAATTATGTGAATTGTTTAGTTTTAAGCATAAAACTATTATAAATCATTTTATATCTTTAAATCTAGGGATCCAAAAATAATAAAAAAATGCCCATAAAATAGTCCAACATGTCTAAAAGGTTTTGGTGAAATCGGTTAGCAAAACGGATACTTAACCATTTCAGAAAACCCACTTGTATCGATATGTGTCAATTATGTGAGAAATTATACAAGTAAATAGAGAACTCCTTGTTTTCATGATCAGAATTGAACATTTGGCTATTACAAACGGCTATAGTAGGAAGAGGAGGTATAATGATTGCAATTTAAGGATTATAAGAGGATCGTCAAATGATTAGAACCCTTAATCCATGTGCTCAAAGATCCTGGATTAAGGTTGGCTGACTTGTTGGTCACATGATCCTTCCATAACTATTTTTATGGCTCAAACTTAAAACCTCTAGATCATATTATAAGCATCAAACCACTATTTCAAGCCCACCTATTAGAACTTTGTTGTGATCGTTAAATATGAAATAAGTTGAAATTTTCTAACGGTCATCATTTAGAGTTCAATGAGGCTCTCTAGAGTAGTCGTGTTATTCTGTTATAGTACCTATCCTTTGTTATAATTTCTTAATTTGTGTTATTTCTTAACCTTGGTTTTGCCTGAAAGAAAAAAATGTTTCCTTTGTCACTCATCATTGCATTCTTGAGTTGGTCAAAGCTCACTTCTTATTTCTAGTACTATTTTAAATCACGGATGTTTGATACCTTGGATGGTTGCAGGATTGGATTTATGAATCCAGTGGAAAGTGTTCCCCATGATTGGACGCTGGGAGCTTTCATCTTACAAACAATAACAGAGCCATTGGATGCAATAGAAAGCCCACCTAATATTGTTGGCAGTGGTGCAATCTCATACATGTCATTCTTTGCATTTTTAGTTTTGGCAGTCCTTTCCGTATTCTTTATATCAAAATGCCGTAGACCTCAATTAAAAACAATCTATGACTTGGAGAAGGGACGCTACATAGTGACTCGCATCCCCAGGTGATCGATTTGATCTGATCACTTTTTCCAAGCATCTATAAGACAGACAGTCTTAATTGTACGCGAAGTAGGAAGCTAAACTTGTCCAGTAAAACAAAGGAAGATCAAAGAACTAAAGGTGCATGTATTGGAATTCAGGACTTCTCTCCTTTAGTTAACAAAAGTGTAAAAGCGCGCATGAAACTCAAATAGTGCCAGTTTATCGAGGTCTAACTGTGTCGAATGAGATGCCTGATCCAGTAGTGCAGAATGAGCTAGCAGCATTGGAGATGTGGATCATCACGCAGCTTCATGCAAATGAGTTCATGTCCGTTGTCACAGAAATGCGAACTCCTGAGACATTAAGGAGATTTAGGCTTCGTTTGGGACATCTTTCTTACTGCTTCTTAGAGCAGCTTTTTAGTATAAAAACTTTAGTTTTTAAACTAAAAAATTATTTTAAGAAGCAATAAAAAAATTGTCCCAAACGAAGCCTTACTCTGCTCTGAATCTCGATTGCCTGGATCTGGGGTGACACATTATGTGTGCTTGTTATTGATTTTTTGTCTACAAGCACCATGGTTCATAAGTTGCTTCCTCTTAATTTTTTGTCATTTATGACAGCCAACTCTGGTTGGTCCTCAAGTGAATAAAAACGCCCCATATCTACAGTGCCTCATTTTATATCTCTATTTACCCTTATTTTCAATGTTTCATTTTAATCTTCCCTGCAAGTGTATTTTTTGGTTATTTCATCTGCAGAAAATGAATGGTTGTGGTGTCTTTAAGCCCACAGAACTCTTGAATGGACAATTAGTGCAATCAGTTCCCCTAAAAACCTTCTTGAGGTGGTTGAGATTTACCAGTAGCTCCAACGTAGGTCAGAAAAAGTCACAGTTGTCTGCCTTCAATCCAAGTTAATACGTAAGATTGTTGACTGTTTTTGTGAATCCTCATTCTCCATTTATTTGTTATTGTTTGTTAACTGTTCAATTGATTACTCAAAGATTAAATTTTCTTATTTGGTTGAATTTAGTGAGATTTGAAACTAAAAAAAATATATATTTTCAAAGCTCTTTTAAAAAATTAAGATTTTAGTTTCTCATCAGAATAAGTGAAGCTCAACTCTTTCACTATTTAAAGCATCTTTCTCTCAAAATTATGATTCATATTATGTTTGGTCTATCCCTCTTAATCTTTTCACACTATTTTTGATCTGCTAGATTTAGAAGACTAATGTGTTCTTGCAGGAAAGATCTTAAGTCGAGCTCAAGAAATGTGAATATAAAGACATGAGAGACTCAGAGACATCAATTAAAAATTACAATTGAAATTAGCAGCTCTATAAAAATAGAAAATGTATTAAAGAAAAAAAAAATCAAAAAGCTGCAAAATGAGTTAGAGCGGTGCTTTAAGGTTATAGGACCAGATAAATTACAAAATATGTCAACAAGAGATTGCAAAGTTCCAGTCCATGGTTGTAGAAGTGCCATTTATCTCTTTGAAAGGATTATTTATTGTGCGAATGCTGAATGTAGCTCTACTTTTAGAGATGAATTAAGTGTAGTCATGTCATCGGTACCGAGTGGGATCGAGCAGTATTAAGCCACGGTACCAAGCGAATGGATGATGTGGCACATTTCTGATTGGTCTCTATACGATTTTTGACGTTCGCATAGAATAATTTTTCCTTTGAAAGACACTGAAGACCAACGATTATGAAAGAAAGCCTCAAAACAATATACCATCAACAAATGAAGCAACAACCCAAAAACTATGCATTGGAAAGATGGCTGCAGAATGGTGAAGCCACCAGGAATATCAAATGGAGCTTAACATAGAAGCCACAAACACTCAACAACAATTAGGTAACCCCATAAGAACAACAAAGTAAAAAGTCTACAGATTGTTGAGTAAGCTTCCAACATCGATCTTTTGCCTTCAAATTATATCTAAGTTTGTGAGCCATTGCATAAATGTTGGATGTAGAATTCCAAAGTTCTAATAGTTTTTCATCTCAAATAAGACATGCATACTTGATAACAACTAGAAAGGTAATTGAAGTTCTTCACAATGGCAGTTGTATTAACCATCTCATTTATGGAATCAACAATTTGAAGAGGAGTTGGCCTAAAATGAAGTAGCCCAAAGGAGAGATTTTTAAGAGATTATACAATAAATGAAGGTCAAAGAAGAGATTTAGATTATCTATTGCACAACACAAAGATAGGGGAAATTTGGATGTCATATTGAGTGTTAGTAGTCTTAAATGTATCAATAATAAAAATAAAATATCTGAAGATAAAATGTTATCAAATGAATTTAAACCAAGTAACATATAAATAATAGAAAAAAACAACATTGAAAAAATCATTGAGAGCTAGCTCAAGGTTATCTATCCAAGATTCAGTGTCCAAAGTAACTTTTTTTTAACATTTATAGGGTTAGTAATATCCCTAAAGAGGGCTATAGATACATGTAATATTATTAGTTCAACAAATGTCATATTAGGTTAAACATACAATTTTGTTGTATAGTAGGGTTGAAGGGTAGGCCTAGATTTCTTTGAGATTCAGGCCTAAAAATGGAGTCCAAGATGTCAAATAAAGATTCTATTCAATGGCATCACCATGTAATTTTGTTGTGTAGTAGTGATGGTGGGTAGGCCTATGCTATAATAACCTTGAAATTATTCTTCCTTAATTTTTTGAAAATTGCTTAGATGTGCACTGTGGCATTGAGCTTGGGGCGTTGCTGTGCTAAGATCTCTGGTTTTTTTTATTTAAGGGAGCACTACAACACAAAACCTTAAACCAGCCCTCCTCATCGTCAATTCCATCATTTTGGCCGAGTGAGAATTAAGAGAATGTGAGAGAAAAGAAGAGATAGAAGGAAGAATAAGGAGAGAGAAAGTGAGATTTAGTCTGGTATTTTTTGTTGCTTGTGTTCAGAAAGTGTTCCGATCGTGGTAGGTAACTATAATCCAATCTCTATTTTTGTTGATTGCGTGTTCTTACTTTTTTCTTCCCTCCTAAAATCGATATAAATATAATACTTATTGTTTTAATAAATTTTCAATGGGTAATTTTTTAATGTGATAGATATTGTTATCCTCAACATTTTGACTAGTTAATATTAAAAGTTTACTAGGTGTTTTTTTTATACGTTGTTTTAACTGGAAATAGGTAGTGTAATATTAATTTAGAAATGATTTGAAAATTGATATATTGCATTTAGAAATAAAATATTCGATATGCATATATTTATTGTTCATTTAATCAGGCATGCATTTTGACGTATTATAGACAAACTGATGAGTATAGTGATAATTGCATTAACTGTATAGTTATGTTTGCCATTATGATCAATATAATGTAAAATGTGCTAAAAGGCAAAAAAGGTTGGATGGAAAGTATTAACTTATTTAGGTTGGTTGTAGACATGTTATCCTGTATAGGAGAGTGGACCGACTGTCTTTCATTTAAATACGATTTATAGTATAATCCTAAATGATATAAAAAGAGAGGTATAATGAAATTGCCTAATATGATATTATATGCTGACAAGTAGGAAGAGACAACTTATTATATATAATTCACCTAACTTGTGATATATAATAAGAGATTGATTCCTAAAAATATGACTAATATGTGATTGAGACTTATTTCTATAGGATTGGCCTGCATGATTGGATATAGGTAAAACACCATAGGTAGCCAGATTTTCTATCTTGCTTATATTTCATTACTTGCACATGTATATGTCATGAGCACATGACATGAACATACATGATAAATTACATAAGTTACATGATATGATGTGATATGATAAATGACTGGTATAGGTACATGATATGACTGATAGGATTGATCCAATAATACATGATATATATATAAACCATATGATATACACTACATATGATATAAAATTTATATGATAAGCATGCACATACAAGCATATGACACTACATATAAGACATATAAGATTGATCAGACTAATACCTAATACATTGCATCTAATTGAAATAGTGATGTACATGCGCATGACATACATGCATATGTATCATTCAATAAATGATAAGATATATTGATTTATACAAAATAGAATATAAGCGATTTTATAACTGATGGGTATAAAAAATGACATAATGTATTGAATCCTCATATGACTTGTTTATTGATCATGATTTATAATGCTTACATTGATTTTCATCGTTCATATGAGATGACACTGTTCACATTGATTCTTACAGGCTTTTACAATAACATGTTTATATTGATATTAATTGAAGGATTATATGCATATTATTTTCTAGTTTTATGCATTGATTGCAGTTGTAAGTTTTGATAACCTACTAAGCTATTGTCTCAATCCGTAATTTTCACATGTTTTAAAGAAGGGGTCATGATCTAGTGGAGTGAGATTGATTAGAATTCAAATTTATTTTATTTCCTGTATTTCTATTTCTTCTTTTGTAGTAAAGAGTAGAAAGATAAAATAATATATTGAATGAACTTTTGGCTATTGAATATGAATTTTGAGAAATGAATGAAATTGTAATTTGAAGAAAAAATTTATACTTACTTTCGCTTGACTAATTGTTTTGAATGAACTTATGATTGATTGCATGCATTATTTTGAAGATTTTGAATGAATTTCAATTGATTTATTAGTTTTTATTATTAGTTTTGAATCATATTGCTTTATTTTGATGGATTTACAAATTAAATTTATTCTTATTGATATGTTTTGTCTGTGGAAATGTTGAGGGTACAATTTTTGTAATGTGAGAAGATTGTAATAGCTTATATTTTGGCCCAAATAAATAAATTTTTTTAGGAGTAATTATAAGCCAAATTTGAAAACCGTCTTCATCATAACATAAATATTATTCTATTTTACTTAAAATATTTTTGGACACTTGTACAAATCCTTAAAAAATTAACATATATTGATATGAGTAAAATTTTGGGACCATTAGGTATTCGTTTTGCAAACCGATTTCACAATTATTTTTTAAATAAAATAAGATAAATGATGAATTATTTTTTTAATTTTTAAATCCCAAAAAGAATTTATATGAATTTTATATTGATAATTAATTAAATAATATAATTAAATAATATATATTATTATTATTTTTTAAATTATCCTAAGTGACAAATATAAACCACTAAATAAGCCATTAACCATTCCTCTTTATTAAATGGGCTAACAGAGAATGGAATGAGGGAATTACGAGAGAATTTGACTAGAAAGAAGAAGATAATATGAGATTTGGAGGTAGTAGAGTGATTTTTGGCGGTTGACCCAGTTGAAAAATTTGCTAGTCTCGTTGTAAGAAATCATTATCCTATTTCTAATTTCAATAATATAATGTTTTTTTTTAATTTTTTTTTATCAAATTTGTATTTTCGTTATCGAAAATTGAGAATAATTTTGTATTGATAAAACTTTTTTCCACATAACTTTTGATATCTAATTGATCAATATGAGTATTTGACAGAAATTTATTGAATTTCACTCATTAAATTGAAAGTTAGGATATTTTGAAGTAATTATATAATATACAAATTTGATAGGAGTATTAATAAGGAATCATTGAGAACATCAACAACTGTTTGATTTCACTATAGTCTCTCTATGTAGAGAAGTTTGAAACCCACCAAGAAAGGTTCTTATAGCTTGATGCTGGGCGAAGACTATACTATTGCAAAAATTAACGACTAAGGTTTCATTTGGGACAAATTTTTTATTATCAAACTTATTGGAACTAAAAATTTTTTGTACGAAAAAAATGCTTCAAAAAATAGTAAAAAAATTATTCCAAACTAAACCTAAGGGGTCAATATGAGTATTTGACTGAAATTTATTGAATTTCACTGATTAAATTGAAAGTTAGGATATTTTGAAGTAATTATATAATATACAAATTTGATAGGAGTAAGTAATAAGGGATCATTGAGAACATCAACAATTGTTTGATTTCACTATAGTCTCTCTATGTAGAGAAGTTTGAAACCCACCAAGAAAGGTTCTTATAGCTTGATGCTGGGCGAAGACTATACTATTGCAAAAATTAACGACTAAGGTTTCATTTGGGACAAATTTTTTATTATCAAACTTATTGGAACTAAAAATTTTTTGTACGAAAAAAATGCTTCAAAAAATAGTAAAAAAATTATTCCAAACTAAACCTAAGGGTGAACAAACTGTATCACTCATTGTGATAGCATGACTAACAGCTTTTTATTATGTGATTATATGAAATGAAACTTAGCTTAAAAACATATTATGATGAGATGACAGTTTGAACAAAAATATTCTAACGAAAATGATAAGCATTCTAAGCCTCCAACTCAGGGCAAATTATTGCGTCCGGTGTCCAGATTTGTCTGGACATCAATCCAGTGTCGCCACGTCACCAAAATGCACCGGAACCCAGTATATTTGGGTGACATGGCGTCACCGGATTGGATGTCCGGACATCCGGTGACCGGACACAATAATTCGCCCTAACTCAGGGTGGATGGTTCTTTTCTTAGCCACAACCTCACAGCTGATGCTAAAGCTTATGATTTTGGCTATGATTGTGGTATACCTTTTATATTTTTGCTATAGACTCAATATTTGTTCATAGTTTAAATATTATTCCTTCAAATATTTTTTGGTTGGGCAAAAGCTAAAAGAGAGATTTATATACATATTATTAAATTTTTTATATATTTTCATATCTAATATTGAAATTTTTATTCATACTTATATAAAACTAATTTTTGTATGAAAATCTGAATTTTATTTTAAATAAGTTAATTTTGGTGATATTTATGATATCATTTAAAAATTAAGGCTTACGTGATTAAATTTAAATTTTTAGTTATATATATATGTATATCAAGAATTTAATGTCATGTATGTAAATCCCTTAGCCTAAATCGCCTCGACAACTCCTCCCTCCACTTTAAATATAAGAAGTTATTAGGTGTGGAGATCAGACACAGAGAATCCTTCGGTTTGTCTCTGTGAATAGTAAAGTTCACCATTGCATTTTTTCTGTACATATATACAAAATCGAACGGTTCTTTATCTAATAGGTCAAAGAGAGTTGCGTATATATATATATATATTCATGCAAGCATCACATATTTAAAATACTCTTCCATCCGAAATTTCTAAATCGAGATTTTGGCGGGCCGCAAATGAAATAACGAGAGCGGGAGATTGAAAGTGTGCGATCAAGGAAAGCGGCAATAGGGAAGGACGGGAGTCGGAGTTGCGAGGAGCGTTCGGTGGCCGCTGCCGAGTTCAGGGAGCTTGATTGGTAGAGGTAAAGATGCCTAACTGACTTCTTCTCTGCATTTTCCCATCCTCTTCCTTTTTCTTGAGCTGTTGTTTACTAGCTAGGAATATGGTGAGGGAGCTCAGAGTTGAATCTTTCTATGCACTTCTACGCGATGCTGCATCAGCCTCGTCTTCGTCCCCTCTATTCATCTTTCCATCGGCATCAGATTCTGATTCTCTCTGTGCTCTTAAGATCATGACCCATATCCTCGCATCCGATTCTCTTCGCTACTCTGTCTACCCTGTATCCTCATTCAGCGACATAGAAAATTTTGCCGGCCTCAATATCCATAGTTCCCGTGAGAGGACATCTCTACTTCTCATCAACTGGGGGTGTCATCGTGACCTCCAGCGGATTCTAAAGCTTGGTTCAGAAGTTCGTGTCTTTGTCATTGATAGTCATCGTCCAATTCACCTCCATAACCTTAGCAAGCAGAATGATCAGGTCGTTGTCCTTTATACGGAGGAGGATGAGCACCACGCAGATTTGATTTATGATTTTGATGTGTCGGCTCTGGCTAATGCCTCCGATCTGAATAGTGATGATGAGATTGGTGAGGACAGCGATGGTGATGATGACAGTGAAAACGAATTGGATGAGGGGAATATCAAGCGCCGAAGGCTGTCAGAAGAGTCCGCATCAGACCCAGTCAGGCTCTATGGGAAGCTGAAGGCTGAGTATTATAAGTTGGGAACTTTTCATGGAAAGCCTTCTGGTTGTTTGTTGTTTGACCTTGCTCATTCCTTGAGGAAGAATACTAACGAGCTGCTTTGGTTAGCTTGTGTCTCTCTTGCAGATCAGTTTGTACATGAAAGGATAACCAATGAGAGGTATCAAGCTGGGGTTATGGAACTTGAGCAGTATATTAACATCTCTGGAAATCTGGAATCGATCACCTCTGTGACACTAAAAGATGGCACACAGATTCAAGCACCAGAGAATTCTCGGATTTTATATGAAGATGAACCACGGCTTATGCTTGTCAGGGAGTGGAATTTGTTTGATTCAATGCTTTGTTCTTCTTATGTTGCAACCAAATTCAAGACTTGGAGTGACAATGGTTTGAAGAAACTCAAGCTTTTACTTGCCAGAATGGGTTTCTCTCTCGTAGATTGCCAGAAGAAGTTCCAGTACATGAGCATGGAAGTCAAGCAGAGGATGAAAGACGAGTTTGATCACTTTCTACCAGAGTACGGCCTGACAGAGTTTTACTATCGCAGTTTCTTTAGGATCCATGGGTATTGCTCGAAGTTGTCCGCCGCTGATGTAGTTTATGGGGTCACAGCGCTGCTTGAATCATTGGTTGGAAGCAAGAAGGACACATCAATCGGTGAACAATTTTGGATTGCTTACTCAGCACTTTCCTTGAGCAATCTCGATCAGCTAAGAAAAGGAATGCAGAATGCTATTGAGATACAGAAGGCCATTCTCAGACAAGGAAGTTCCGCAATGACAAAGAGTGGATTTATCCGAAGTGGCAGAAGATTTCGCTGGATAAAGCTTGAAGATCCCGTGGATACTGAGCGATTGCATTACCCTCAAGCACTTACCAAATTCTGCTACTTTCTGATGGATGCTTTAAAAGAAAGAGGTGCAAGGATGAAGCCTCTGGTGTGTACCTGTTTGGCAAAAGAGCCTGGCAAGGTTTTGATAGTTGGAGTTTACAGTAAGCCACGACTTGGGGCTATTCAAGGCAACTCCTTCGGAATCGTATTTAGAACTGCTGCTGAAGAAATTGGTGCAGATTACTGCAACGAATTGTTTGAATCTTCATGGATACTCTTAGATAGTGTGGCTGTCAGTTCCTTTATGATTAGATTGGCCGGGAAACTTTGATATATTAATGCTCCAGAATATGTTGAAGATAAAAGCTGTTCCATTGTTTGGATAAGGTATTGAAATGGAACTGAGTTTCTAAATTATGAAAAAGCATGACAACAATGCAGCTGCTTTTGTCAGTATTATACTATTATGTGCAAATGATTGTCTAACTTATGTATTTTGCATGTCCGAATCTGTCTTTTATCTATCTGCTTGTTGAGTATTTTGCCCTGAGATTGTTAATATAATAGTGTAATATGGCTAACACATGGCAGATATGAATTTTCTTTAATTTTAGCCGAATCAGCGCAATTCTCTGTTGAATTTTAGCTGAATCAGCACAATTCTACGTTGTAAGGCTTCTTTTTAAGGTATATTGTGACAAGCAGAAGTCAAAATTAACGTCTTATGTTGATTTTATTTTGAAATATAGACAGTTTTCTCTTCCTGGCATAGATTTCTATTTATCTAGTTTCTCTTTGAGAATGTATACAAACACATGGTTTCACAAGTTTGCCATAATTATATCATATAAAATTCATATTGCGTCAAGTGTGTAGACTATAGGTGGTGTATATCCACTTATTTTTCTTAATATACTGAGCTTGATATGGTTGTCTCAAGAATGCAGTGGAATTTTTTTTTTGGTGGATAAAATTTATATAGGAGCCTATGTCTTAATTGAAATAAAAGATTATAAGTCCTTAATGAATCATAAGCTCTTTAAAAATACAACATTTAAAGCAAAATCTATGAGCAATTGATTCAAACTAATACAAGAAACAATTAAAAGAAAGGAGAAAAAAAAAAAACCAAATCCTCTGAGAGAGCACCCAATAGAGAGACATTGAGACTCCCAAAGACAATCAACAAAGAGTTAAAAGATGAAATGCCAAAAATATAGCCCACATCCCGGAGAGAGCCAACACCAGCAAACTCTTTGCAAGCAGCTAGAAAAATAGTAAGCCAATAGAGCAAGGAAAATAATACTAGGGAACAAGGTGAAGAATTCACAACAACAGCCCTCCAAACTAAAACAAACTAAGCCATCCATCAAACAGACATAAGAACGGCCCAAATAGCTAACCCGAGAGACAACCAACAACAACCCACCAAAAACAAGAACCAAACCACCATTAGCTGCAGGATTTAGAAGGAACCTTGGATCTCTTAGGTTTACCTTAAGAAAGGTTAAAATCTTGCACCACTTTTTTAATTTTATATTATTTTTCTTATTTTTCTTGCTATCAACTTTTACAAAATCATCATTACCAACTTGCACTACATTCGTATCATAATCCTTTGAGAACCAATATTGACATCCTCAATGCAGTGGGTTTCATGTTATCTTTTAAAGCTTATTAGATATTGTTTCATAATCATTTTGCATAGCCTTATATTGGAATTGTGGAGCCAAATTTCTTTATGGTAAAAATCTTCATCAGTTATGGTTGAATTTCCTTTTTAAATGCAAATATTTGACTAATTTATTAATTTATTTGTGTAGGCTATAGGATTGAATAGTTTGAATGTTATTAATAGAAATATCTTGAAGTGACTTTATGAGATCTTATATTATCTTGGGTGGGTAATGAATTATAGGTTTCAAACCTATTTTTTGTTAACAAATCAAGCCTTTAAAGGTAGGGTTTGACATTTCACAACCACAAGAAAATAAAGAGAACCTGGATGGAAAAGGAGGGGCTTGCCAACTAAGAACAAAAGGAGTTTTTTGTGTGATTGTAAAATTATATGTATCTTGTCTAAACCAGCATTAAGTTGATACTGCACCACTTACTGATATGATACTGAAGGCTACAGATGATATTGCAAAGAAGGAGAGCGATGTTGGTATGATCGATGTGTCAGAAAATGCTATGCATATTGTTGATGAGGAGAAATAATTCTGTGCGGATATAGGACGGTTCGGAGGCTAATCAGAATGCGCCACTTCGCCCGGTACATATTGTTACCTAGCATTGGTATTGAACAAAAAAGTGTGGTGACGCATTCTGGTTAGCCTTCGGATGATGTTCGGTGTTCGCATAGAATAATTTATCATTGATGTGGCTGAAGATTGTGTTGTTTTGCTTGCCCTTTGCTATTATGCCTTTAATATCTATCTCCATGATATTTTTGTCATCCATTCTAATGTTGAAATTATCTTGAATTATCTTCTCATGCATTTATCAGAGTAAATTTTTCTTGATTGACATTTACAAAGAGAAACCTCGACTTTATGACCATTACTAGACCAATTGAAATACTTGCCAACTATCAAATTATGAAGTCCAAATTGCTATTTTTCACAATGAGGATAAAAGAATGCAAACATTGAAGAGAATGTAGGTCTTTAGAAACAAAAATATTAACCATCAAAGGTAGAAATTGAAGAGCAATTCTCTTTGTCCTCACTATGAAAAATAATTGTTTGAATATCATAATTTAACTATTGGTAAATATTTTAATTATTATAATATTGAATATAAAATCAAAAATTATCTTTTTAAAGGTCAAAAATAATTTGCTTCAATAATTATAAGAGAAGATAATTCAAGACTATGTCATCATAATGATGCATGACAAAATCTTGTAAAGAATAAAATTAAAAGCAAAATCTCAATGACAAGCAAAACTATCACAACATTATCTATTTTAGGCTTAGTTTGGGATGGTTTTCTTATTATTTTATAAAACTTGTTTTAGTAAAAAATCTCTTGAAAGTAAGAAAAAAACAGTGGTCTAGAACTGTCTCAAACGAAGCCTTAATCTTATCCACAACAATCACAACAATTTCTAGCATCTTAGCCAAACCAACAATCCCCTTTTGCTTTGTAGTGCGAGCATTAGCCTCCAATTTTATATCAACAAGCAGTGTAACATCATTTGCTTCAATCAACTAATACTTAGGAGCAGTGTAGATGGGCAATTCTATGTTTTGTTTTCGCTATAACTCAATAAGATGCTTGCGAGTCTATTGATGTGGTGAGATGTATACTTTTTTTAAAGTAACTGACAAGAGTTATGTGTGGAATCTGCGGTGAGTAGCTTATCGTGAATTTAATCCTAGTATCTTTCATAGTTGTTTTGTTGGTGATTGGGTTCTTGCAGATTCAGGATGTTGGCCTAGGGGCCATATAATGAGACTTTTAGTGACAGTTATGTGTGGAATCTGATTGTGTAGATAAATTTGGTTGTTATGTTGTTTCGGACCTCAAAGTTTGTTGTGTTCTTTTCGTAGAATGTCCCGACCTCTACATACCCTAGCATCCCAATATTGTATTCCCGACCACCCAAACGTTGAACAACAAAGAGCAGAGCGCTGCAACAGTATAGATACGGCGTTGCAATGGTGCAAGACAAAGGCTTGAGTGCCGCAACACCCCAAACTTGCACTGCAATGCAACGAGATGGACTGAACGGTTTTCCTTCTCGTTTTTTGAAGGGTTGCGTTCATTGGGGTTGTTTTACTTGGCTCTCTCTTGTATTTTGTGTGTAGACATTGAAAATTGTGCATGTGAGAGGAGATGCAACGAGAGAGTGAGAGAGAAGATATATCTATATATATTTTTTCACAACGTATACACAAAGACTCAAATCCAAGACCTCTTAGTTGGAAGCCTAAGCTCTCAACCAACAAGCTAAGGTGAGCGGTGTATTTTAGGTGCTTTTACTTATGGCCATTTGATGACCTCAATAATTGGGGGAGTTCGCTCTCCTTGGGAAAAGTGCTGGTCCAAAATCATATAATTTTACATTTTAAAATCATATAATAATGAGTTTTTTACTCAATAAAATAATTGTAATTATTTATTTTTTAAATAAACAATGGGTTGGGAGAGTAGAGCTAAAGGGCGGTAAAATAAGTAATTATTTTTTGTTGGTCCAAGATTTGTTCTTCAAGTTGGAGGCAAAAAAAAAAAAAAACACTTATTTTTGGAGAGATTATTATGTGCATATATTGGACACAGAGAATTGTTAAGTTTTGTTTCTGTGAACAATAAGACTTATAAGAGGGTTTTAACTGTTTACAAAGACAAATTTGATGGTTCTCTATATCCGGTCTTCATATGTAATAATTTCTCTTATTTTTTAGTGTTAATTTGATTTCATTGATCAGGCTTAATGATTCCAATGAATGCGATTAATTTAAATCTAATTTGATGTGAGAAGAAAATACTCAAGACGTAGTATATTGTTAAGTGTCAATTTGATTTAAAATTGATACAATTGACTGATTTGGACATCTTAAAGAAAAATAATTCAATGAGCTTTTTATTAAAAAAGAGTTGAATTGATTAGAAGTTCCCCTTTGTCTTTGTTTTCTTGAGGGCCGCGCTGTAAAAAAAATACAGGTGCTTAATAGATCGGTGGGGTCAAGGTGGGCTCCACATGACGTTCAACTACAAGTTTGCATACATAGAGCTACATCCGCACTCCACACCCAATAAAAATTCGTTCTTGTGAGGCAAAGTGAAGAACCTAATGTGTTTTCATGTTCATAAACCAATTGATTTGAGGTTAGCAACCGAGCTGATTTGTCATTCCATGGCAAAGAACATCAAGATTGGCCATTAATCCTTCTTGAAGGTCTTTAATGGAATTATGAGAACTTTTAGTCTTTTTTTTTTGGGAAATTTACATACATACCACTTTATAACATCATATTTACATATTTAGCACCCAAAATTTTAATATTACATGCATACCACCCTATATTATTTTAATATCAAATATACCACTTATATTTCTTTCCTACCACTCATATATTTCATTTCTACCACTCATATTTGATATGAAAATAAACTATAGGTGGTATATATGTATGTAATATTAAAGTTTTAAGTGTTAAATATGTAAATATAGTAGTATAAGGTGGTATGTATGTAAATCTCCCTTTTTTTTTTGCAAAATTGCTTGAAAATAAATAATAGTGGAAATCTAGATTTATAATAGATAAGATTGGATAATTCTTCTAGATTAAGGCTTCATTTGGGGCAATCTTCTTACTGATTTTTAAAACGGCATTTTAGTACAAAAATTACTTGAATTAAAAATTTTTATATTAAAAAGTTGATTTAGAAGATAATAAGAAACCTATCCGAAACAAAACCTAAATATCATTAATAAGGTGTTTCCAACATTGAATATTTTATAGTTCTAAATTCTAACAACAAATGGGCAATCTTCAACATTTATTACACGGCATAAAAAATCTTTTTTATCTTTTAAGATATTTTTTAAAGAAAGTTGATTGTAAGTGATTTGATTGAAGTTTCATTTGAAACAGCTTTATTAATGCTTTTTAAATTATTTTTAAGCATAAAATTTATTGAAAATAACAAGAAATAATGATAAAAAATTGTCCATATTAATGAAACCTTAATTATTATACCACCAACAATAAAATACATTTATAATCCTCTACATTGCTGTAAATTAAATCATTGTAAACATAAAGAAAATTATGTAAAATTAAGCAAAAAGCTCTTAATAATAACCACACATGTAATTGAATTATCTCCCCAAAAAATGACCAGAATGCCAAAATCTTTCTTCAATATTAATAAACAAAAGACCTTACGCCACTCCAACCAAAAATAACTCTTTATATTCTTTATCATATATATATATATATATATATTTGATCATATACATACTTATAATTTTTAAAAAATGTATATATTTTGGTCGGTAAATTAATTTGAAATATAAATATGTCCTATATTTATCAATTTTTTGAAATATATTAATGTTATATCTTAAGTAAATTAATTATGTAAAAAATATTTAAATTCTAAAAAATAATTTGTTTATAAATTATTATTTCTGAATTATTAATAATAACAATTTACACTTAAAAAATTAAAATTTATGACCTAATTTTCGGATTTAAAAAAAAATTAACGTGTGTGAACAGTGTGATAATAATATTGAGGTCGCACTGTTCACTCCTGAAGATTAGCAAGCAATTTCGTGTTCGGTTGAATCGTTTGGTAGATGACATATACTTGTTTATCGTTCGATTGTAGATGATCTTACAAAGTTGATCTGCATTTCACTTGTAAGAATATGATCACAAAATACACAAAATGATAAAAATATTATAATAAAATTTAAACTCACACAAATTTTAACAAATGCTAGTACAATGATCAGATAAATTTTGCCTTCAATTTTACTCCATCATCATCAAGGTCCAATTGAAGTTCTCTCCCATGTGGATTAACCACTCCACCATTCATATTAAATGCGCATTCAAGGCGGATCATCAATGGGATATTAATATGGTGACAGATTCCTACAGTTAGCAACTTGGCTAAGTTGTCCATGCTGCTGGGATCTATAGTTTTTTGGCATTTAGAACTAGAACGACTAACTAAATTATGAACGCACAGTCATTCATTGAGAAATTATTAGATCAGCGTTCATGCTTTTTGAATATTACAAGGAGCAAAATAATAATTGATCATTGATGTCTCAAAACTTGATTTAAAGAGAAATAATACAGAAATTAAATCACTCTACTTAAGACTCTTCGTCTTTACTTTCTTCCTTCATATACCACTTGTTTATACGTTCCTTTGAGAGAACAACCTGTAAGAAATTAATTGAACATATCAGATTGATCATAACTCATAAATTTACAAGAAAAATTTGTATTGCTTTTCGCACCATGTAAATGGAAGCTGATATTTTAGTTTGTTTGTTCTGTGTGGAATTTAATTGTGTTGATCAATCAGGTTATACTATTGCCTCAAATCTCAATTTAGTTTGGTTAGTTCACTGGGGAGTTGCAGGGGTTCTCCCCTACTTGGAAATTGAGAGTGTGATGCTGCGAGACAGATTGACAGTTTTTTTTTCTCGTTATTCATTAAGGATTTCATCCCCTGGTAGTTTTGTAAGTTTCTCTTTGTATGTTCTAGTGTGAGAACGTTGCAAGGGTGTGAAGAGAAGCAAGGAGAGGGTGTTCGTACTATTTCTCTCAAATTTTCATAGGGAATTTTTTGGTGTGGTGTGGGTTCATGGGTTTTTTTCCTAGATTCAGATTTTTTTTCACGTTAATTCCTGGTGTTCTTTATTTTCATTGCATTTTATCTTTCTTATTTGTGTTTTCTGGTGCTTTACTTCCCCCAACATAGCCGAATGATAGAAATAAAGTTTCTGGTTGTATTGAATCCTGCATTGTTCTCTTTGTTTATGAGCTGCTATGTTTTAATCTAACTATATATTATGTGAAAGAAAGAGAACTTGAATTCATTGCTTAACAAGAAGAAAACTATTGAAATACATGTCATTATTATATCTTCACCTGCTTCTCCCAATCAGTTCTTGTTGTGATGTACAGCAGCACTATTGTTTGGACCACTACACCAAGTATCATTCCCATCCATATTCCCTACAGGTTTATACATAAATAAAATCAACAAACTCTCAATAACTATCAAATATAAATATTAATAAACTGCTACATAACAGTTAGGATTTTTTAATTTCATTTTACCTTAACATGGAAGCCAACAACATAACCAAGCACAATACCAAGAGGAATGCCTATAAAGTAGTAGCACGCTATATTTACATATGCAACCACTCCTTGCCAGCCAGCACCAATAGCAACCCCTGTGTATGATCAAGTAGTGTTAGAAGTTTGAATCAAAGTCAGCAGTGTTATTAAGGCTTCGTTTGGGACGACTTTTTATTGCTTTTTAAAATAACTTTTTAGTTTAAAATTTAAAATTTTTATACTAAAAAGTTGCTTTAAAAAAACCGTCCCAAACAAAACCTAATTATCAATCATTAGTCATATCTGTTTAAAAGTTTTCATCAATCATTATTTCTTTGCATCCAAAGACTCTAAATCTATAGTACAAGTATGCTTATAGAATAAATAATAATAACAGGTATTCACATGTAATTTTTTTTGGAGTTACAGTTTTTTGTTTGTGTAATATGTGGTGTCAAAATCAAAGATCATGAATGTTGAAAGTTTTCTTGATATCATAGTTTGATTGAATGGAAATGTAGCATCTTTACCTTTAAACCCCTTTCTTTTTCTCTCATTTTTGTCTATTTTACAGAATAAAATTGTATGGTAAAGGAATTAGACGTGTTGGCTTACCTGAAAGAACTGGCTGAACGCTGTTGAGAAGAATAGAGAAAGATAATAAAGGTGAAAGATCTGCGACAGCTCTGGTTACTTCTGAGTTCTCGGTAAATATATAAGCTAGTTTTCCTCTAAGGATCAAAAAGAATGTGAACAGTATTATTCCAATGATGAGGGAAGTCACCACAACATTAATAATTGCAAATTTTGCACGCTTTGCACTTCCAGCTCCAAGTTCATTTGCCACTCTAACACTGCAATTTTTCAGAGAAAAGGCCTATAAATCACTTCTCAAACATGGAAATTGTTTAAAAAAAAAAAACTTTTAACTGACCAAAACTATTAACTACATTAGATCATTATGATGGGTTAGCTATATGAATTATTTTTCTCCATTGTATCCCACTAAAGACTAATTACTCCGTGCAAACACCGGACGGAGAGACAGTCCAAATTTGCTGCGCTTTTACAGCCCTTTTGCTGTGCTTTTACAAAAGGGCAACAAATATTTAATATTTATTAAATAATTGAATATTTGTTGTGCTTTTACTATGCTTTTAGAAAAGGGCAACAAAAGTGCAGTAAAAACACATTCATAATTGAATATTTGTTGCCATTTTACTGCTCTTTTGCAAAAGCACAGCAAAAGAATAACAAAAGCGCAGCAAAAGGATAACAAAAGCGCAACAAATCTGGACTGTTCTCTCCGTCCAATGTCCGCACAGAATAATTTCTCCCTACTAAGAGAATAAGCCATCAGGCCTAAAAGTTTTTCTTTACACAACACACACACTAAAAAAAAACTGTCCTGAAGAGTAGAACAATAGTGAAGTGTTAGATCTGAAGGTAAATTTAACTCAGGATGAGCTAATTTTTTTCTTTTTGGTTCTAAGATAATCATAAAATAGGGTACTTCACTTGCCAAAGTTTTCACACGACATCAAAAATTCTGTAAGAAAATGCAGATAATTGAGAGATTACCCTGCAGCACCCATAAAACCAAAAGCGATCATCATCTCCCACCCATTAATGTTGAGGCTGATGAGAAAATTTATAACAAGTCAGATTAAAACTACATAACTAGTAGCAAAAGTTGATATAATAAATGATAACATTTTTGAACTAAATCTGTACCATATTGACAAGGCATCAAGAGCAACCTCAGCATTCTTCATGTATCCAGTTAAAAGAACCAGAAGGGTATTATACCAAAGCTCTAAGCTGCGCAAAACAAAAACCATTGTTATTGACTAATAACATCATCTAATCACCTCAATCAGAACTTCACTCAATAAGAATTTTGAGCTATTCAAACATGCTTAAATAGTGTGACTAAGGCTTCATTTGGGACGACTTTATTACTGCTTCTTAAAGTAACTTTTTAGAAAAATAAAATAAAATTTTGTACTTGAAAGATGCTTTAAGAAGCTGTAAGAAAGCCGTCCCAAACAAAGCATAAATATCTTAATATTAGTCACATTTTTCTTAAAAAAGTGTTAAAATGTTTTATATTTACAATTAAACAAAGGTTTTAAGCAAATTTTGACTATATAGAAAATGGAAGAAAGGCATACCATAGCATGACACCAGATGACAATGAAACCTTGGTGATAGAGCAAAGATCCTTGAAAGCACTAAAAGAGAAGCCCTTCCAGGTCTCAGGACATCCCCCGAAGAAGACAAAGCCGAGCTGACCGAATGCTGGAATCCACATAACAATGATCACTGAAATCATGACTCCAACCAGTCCAAGACCAAGTATCTTAGTAGTGAACCATGAGAGACTAATATGAAGAACAAGTGTCAACACAGCCAAATATGTGATGATCATATTCTTGCTTTGAGACTGAAGATACATTTGAAGAGTGAAAGCCCAGATGTAGGAGAACATTACTGGTATGAACCATTTGGAAATAGTGCCTGCCATTTCTGCAATGGAATCTTCTTGTCCAATTAGCTTTAAGAGAGGGGTGGTGAAGATGAAGATAGGGAGGATGAAGAGACTGCAAATGAAAAGAATAATCCATGATCTTTGTAGGTAAATTCCTAGCATGTGATATTGTTTTGCACCATAGGATTGGCCACAGAGAGTTTCAAGTGCACTTGCCATGCCCAACTGCATTATTTTTGAGATGAAGAAACAATGTTCAGCATAATATCCATAATTATTTTGTTCTATAAGATAAATATCTACGAAATTGGGGAATTAATATGAGGTTTTCAGAGCTTATCCTTGTCACAAAACTACTATAAATAGAAAGCATTCATTTGTGCTTGTTATAATTAAATCATTAACTTGACAAAAGCAAAAATATTGGTTAGAATTTTATTTTGAGTTTTGATGTTGGGCTGATGAATAGAGGTAGGAGGCTAAATATGAGAAATATGTATGAAATTGCCCCTTTTAATTGAAAGTATGGCACAAAGCCAATTATAGACAATTAGGTAGAAAGGGAATTAACAATGAGGGCACATGTCTAATTATAAATCAAATCCATACAATGAAAATGATACATAATGAATGAGTAGCAAATTTTGACGACTAACATCAATGATCACCACAATCGCCCAATATTGTTCAAAACCCATCACCTTGGTTGTGCGATCTCCCTTCTTATCAAGAGAATGACATAGTTGAGCATCCACTATCACCCAAAATTTTCATATCAAGTTGAACATTGTATAACATCTACCATTGACCAATATTCAACATTCAACCACCAACATCTATGGCCTAATTTACTAGTCTCAGCCTTATCGATCAGGACAATAACTTAACGATCACCTACCGTCACCTAATTTTTATGTCCCCCATTGACAATCTCTCGAGACTTTTCAATGATTGATGCTCAGTGTTCGTCAACCATCAATGTTGGATACTCGTCTTCTCAATTGCCCCATTTTCCTTTATATAAAAATGAAGGATCAAGTCGGCTATCCAATATTGCCCAACTTATGATGATCCTCCTTGATAATAGTCCAATGCTAACTAATAGTTGACGTATAACAACCACTAGCCATTAGCATCCCACACCTAATGTTTTTAAGTCTCCTGATCTTTCCTTTTTATCAAGAGAACAACAAAGCTGATTGTAAATTATATTCAAGATTTGGTTAATCGCTATCAACCGTCTGGCACCTAAAAATGTAGACATCCAACAATTATCTTCTATTTATTTAATCTCCTTTCCTATCAAGAGATTAAATAAAATGACAGCCCACTTTCTCCATATTTTTTATGTTTCTCATCGATTGTCACTCGACACATACCAATTCCTAATGCTGATGTTCTTAAATCACCCACCTTTAATACCTACATTCTATCTCCCCCAATTTTCAATCCTTTTAAAAGAACAAACTAGCTAGCAATTTATAATCACCCGACATCCAATTTACCTTCTTGTTTGTTGCTTGATGCTTGCTAATGATTGATATTTAACTTCCTTTAGCTAGTATTGCCCAATGCTTGTTTTCATGGATGTCCAATCTCCCCTCTTATTAAAAAAAAAAAAAAAATCAACTAGACCACCCATAATTGCTCGACTTTCAATATTCCTATCTAATGTCAACCAAACCACCCATAACTATACCTAATCTCGATTAACTTCCAACATTTGTCACTCATCTTCCCAATCACTATCTCTCCTCCTATAAGTAGAGTGGTCAAGATGAACACCATCCATTGCCAATTGACAACTCCAATATCTCAAGTCTCCTCCTACTTCCACTATCGAAGCTATCTTTCATAGTTCATATCTATTAAATCAAATTCATTCCATCTCTAGTTACATAGAAGGACATCCTTTATAAAATATGTTTTTTATGCTGATAAAATTATTTTAATTAGGTCCAACACACTAAGCAATGATTTCCTCCTCATGTCTTCTATGAGCTGCTCTTAATTTAAAATTTTTGGATGATAACATATATTATAATAGGGTAATATTAATTTTTCTCCCTATTTTAATGTTTGCAAATATGAGTTGAGCATCATATAAAATAGGAAAAAAAAAACTAATAATAAACATAAATCATAAAATTATTATATTATCTTAAATAAATTCAATAATTTAAAATTTATTTTCATCAACTTTAAACCAAAATACTCTGACCTAAAACGCTAAAATTTCTTGACAAAAATTATGAAATAAAAAAATAAGAAAATAAATAAAATAAAAAATAAAAATACAAAAAAATATATTATAATAAAATTTAGCCGATCAAGGTAAAGAAATAAAGACATGACGCAGTTATTGCTTTATTCTAAAAATTATCCCTTCTGAGAGCTTAGATCTACATTAGATTTTTCATATTTAAATATCCACCAACCTCTACGAAGCTAAATTGTGCTTATCTGGTTCGATTTGACCCTACGTGGCTACGCCCGAATCCCTTAAAATCAATTATATTATCTTCTATCGAGCACCATTTATTAATATTTACTTATTAATACATAACTATTTTCCGAGAGTCGATCCACCTTTTCAGATTGGATCCACATGAGATTCTCATGGTGTCGCTTCTCCCACGAATGGATCTCCCTCGCATTTAAGCCCACCACCCGTTAACAAAATTATTAAATACAACGACGCAGGTCGCAGCTGAATAGTCAGTCAGAATTTAATTAAATGTAAACCATAAATAGTTTATTACTATTATACCCTCGGGTTTGACCCTCAGTAATCCGCCAACTAAATTATATTATCTTTTATCAAAGATTATAATTCTAACTATAATTAGAGTCCTAAGCGAGCCAAGTTTACTAGTAAGTTAGTTTGAACTCGATTTAATAACTGACTCATTAATCAAATTCGACGAGTAAGTAAGTTAAAGGTGAGTTAGTTCCGACTCGACTTATTAGCACTGTTATGTTTAAAATTTTTATCATTTAATTATAATAATTATTTAAATCAAATATGTAGAATAAGTTTAAGCTCAAACTCGATAAATTAATCAAAACTCAATCTCAAATCAAATGTAACTAAGACTTCATTTGAGGCAGATTTTGGAGAAATTATTCAATGCAGGATCCAGACGAAATGAACCATCCGAATTATGAGTACATAATTTGTATCAAAAATTGATACACATTATATATAAATATATATACAGTGTGTACACTCACAAGTCTGAACATTTCTTCTCATTTGGACTCCGCACTGAATATTTTCTTCAGATTTAGACCACTATTTTCTTTGCTTTCAAAAAACTTTTATTCTAAAAAATAATAATAAAAATTATCTCAAATGAAGCCTTAATTCAAATGACAAACATTTAAAAGTTCTTTTTATCCATAAAGTTAACATTTAAATGTTTTAAATAATTTATTAAAAAGCATATTTGCAATATCAGAATACATAGGGGTTAAATTATAAAAAACTAAGATTTATAATTAGAGTAATATATTATTGGGAAAGATTTACAGGGGGGAAAAATCAAAAGAAATGAAACAATGTTTTATTTTATTTACGTAACCCTTAGTTGGACTTTTAGGATATTTTAATATTTGTAAAAGTACGCTAGGGCAGCATGCCTGCCCAGCTCTCATCATCATTGCAAGATCGTTCTACACGGAAAAATGAGTCGGTGACGCTGCTACGAAGCATCAGTCTCCATCTCATCATTTTTTTTTTGGAAAAAGTTTTTCAGCTTCCTTTTTTTTTTTAATATTTAGATCATTTAAGTGAGACTCATATATAAATCAAACATTATATTAATAAAGTGATTGATAGTATTGCGATATTATGATGTTCATGAAAATAAATTTATTCTAATAAAATATTAAAAATTATTTATGCATTAGAACATATTTAATAAATTTAAATTTATTTTGATTATTTACACAATTTTTTCAAAAAAATTTCTAACTTCGAGATGAATTTTAAAGTAATTTTTTGAAAAAGTTTCTCATCTTTTATATATATATATATATAATATTTAGATTATTTACACAATTTTTGATAAATTTAAATTTATTTTGATTATTTACACAATTTTTTCAAAAAAATTTCTAACTTCGAGATGAATTTGAAAGTATAAAATCTATTTCGTATAAACATAATACAAATTTTTTATTTTTTGAAAATTAAATTCAATAGTTTTAAATTTTATTTTTTTATTATATACACAATTTTTTCACAAATTTTCTTTAATAGCGTGGCGGGTCCCTCTGCCTCTTTATTCCCTGAGACAGTTGTCCTTTATGCAAGGCTGCCAATATAGGCTTTTAGTTCTATTATTGGGCCAATTAATTTTCTGAGTCTGAAATCATCTATGTTTATTTGATTATTAGAAAATTATATTTGATTAAGATTAGACATAAAATCATTACTGTAAGTTAAAAATATAATTATCCTATTTAGAGTTAAGCCATAAGTTCACTGACATGATTAAGTTTAGCATTAAAAATAATTATCTAATAAATTAAAATAAATTATAACATAAAATATAATAAGAATATAAAAAAACTACAATATAAATAACTATCAATCGTAAGATCTTAGGTTCATTTTTTTATCTAGTTTAATAAAGTATTATAATTCTAATTTTTTTATTTATTCATCATGTTCATAATTTAAATAGATTAATAAATATGAATAATACGTTCACATCAATTTTAAATAAAAAATTTAATTTTGAATATATTTATTTGAAAAGAAAATATTACTCTAAAGATTTTGCGTGGGTAAAAAAAAATAAAAAATTACTTTCACTCATTCTAAGCTTGAAATTAAAGCTTCGTTTGGGACGGCTTTCTCACTGCTTCTTAAAGCAACTTTTTAATACAAAAATAAAAAAGTCGTCCCAAACGAAGCCTAAAGCTCTCAATTTAAAGCGAGCTTTGGAAAAAAAAAAAGTGTTCTAAATTAATTTTAAAAAATTCGTAAGAAAATTAAAATAATATATTTAGAAAAACTTCAAGCAATGAAAAAAAAGAGAGAGAAAGAATTGTAAGGGGTAGAAGAGAGATGGAGAAATTACGAGGATGCCATTGGAGAAGCGAATGAGGACGGTGGAGACGAGGGCATAGGCGGCGAGCTCGGTGGCGCCGATGTGGCCGACGAAGGCTTGGCTGATAACTGTGACGCCGAAGGTGGAGAATCTTGTGCATATAGAAGGCCCAGCAACCTTCCATAGTTTCTTGTTCTCCTCCCACAAACGTCTGCTCAGCTTTTCGTTGTCGCCTCCTTCTTCTTCTTCTTCTTCTTCTTCTTTTCTGCTACCCTTCTTCTCCACTATTAACTTCTCCTGCAATCCACCTTCCTCCATTTGTCTCTCGCTCTTCTCTATCTCTTTCGCTCTCTGTTTCTTCTTTGATGTAGCTTTTATTTATTTGTTTACGGACAAGAAAGACTAGAACTGAAAAAGCGAACAGACTGGAATGCCCTCCGAACATAAAATGGGTAACAGAGATTGAATTGAAATTTGTTACTGGCACCAAAATAGGAAACGGAAATGAATAAAAGTTCACATAAATACAAAGAATTTTTAATATTTTCTATTTATGTGCCTAAAAATGTACACTTGTGGGGCAACAGTGCAACACTGGGGGCACGGCCCCCGCTGACTTATCAATGAAAAAACCCACAATAATTTAAAAAAATAATAATAAAAAAAACACACAATTTAACATAAATGTTTTTTGGGGAAAATTTAGACAAAACCCGTATATTAATCAAAAAGCTTGCAAATAATGAAATAAAACTAAAGCCTCAAAAAAGGAGAGGCGGGCTCTATTAGATCCCAAAAGAACAAAAATAAGTGCCAGTAAAATAGACAGAAAAGGGAACAGGAGGAGAACATAATTTTCTTTTTCACTAACAAAGACTCTAGTATGATGGAACCAAACAACTATGACTTCATATGTTAGTGCCTTATCCACAACATGACTTGGGGTGTCAAAATCTGATACGACTCGAAGTTTGACCTAAAAAACTTTGGATTCAGGTCAACCCGTTGCTTTACGGGTCGGGTTCGGATTCGATTTTTTAACTCGTTTGGCAAATCGGGTCAGTTTCAAGTTGACTTGAAAACTCAAAATCAATCAGTTTGACTTGTTAATATGACAGCTTCCGCGTCTTGTCGCGTTGTTGTCAGATCGTCTCTTCTCATCCCTTCGCTGTCACTTAAGGCCGCTGTTGCCATGCAGGCCGCTCCGGCATGCCCCTCTTGCAGGCTGCTCCACAGGCCGAGGTAGTGAGACTGCACAAGCATGCCAGCTGTCTAGCGAGAGCGACACCCAAAGCATCTCGTCTCTTGGCTGTAGCATTGATAGGCCACTCCGTAGCCGCAAGTCGCAGTGGAAGGTTGCTTCGCAGTCTCAGGTTGCAGCCTCGCCAACTAGGCTGCTGCCATGCCGCCTTAGCCCGCACTGGCTTGCCTCGCGGCTCGAGTTCGCAACTTCACATCTATTTTCGCGGGTCGGGTTCAGGTTGACAATACTGACCTGTTTGAAAAAATGGATCAGGTTAGTATCAACCTATTTACGGCTGGGTCAAATCGGGTTCGACCCAAACCTGACTCGTTGATCCAAATTAACACCCCTACACGCGACCGAACATATGACTATTATATTGCTTACTATTTTTTAAATAAACTATTATTAAATTCAACAAATATAAATAAGAAATTTTAGTGTAAACTTTTTATATAAATAGTATTGATATATTGGACACTTACTTAAATAATATTTAAAATTTGGTTACTTATAACATAATCATCATCCTATAAATTGACACTCAAATATCAAAATTCACTTAATTGTGGCAAGCACAAATATATGATTTTGATAGTTCAAAAAATAAAAAATAAAAAAAATAAATCATGGCAAAATGATCAAGAAGAAATAAGCAACTACAATAAAATAAACACTAAATATAAGGTTCCTTCAGATAAATCAAACAGCTTCCAGATTCTTTTAATGCTGATATTAAGTACTGATCAGTGAAATTAATGTTTAAGCTTACAATTAGAGAAAAAAATTCAAAAGAATTTAATACAATGCAAAATGAAAAAAAAATGTTAATAAAAGAGAGATAAAACTAATTTGAGGTAGCAGATTTAGATAAAAATGACGGAAAAGTTGAGATAGCAGCTTTGGATTCATCTTGCGCTTTAGGGAAAATTTGGGGAAAAATGAGTTAGGAGAGAATTTATTCTCATGAAGAAATTGTGGAGTAGAATTATAAATGCAGAAGAAGAAATCAATAGAGTACTCATAGATGAGAGAAAGTTAGGACGGTAGATTGGCTTAAGAAGCTTCTGCCTATTAGATTGACCAGAGCTTTTTACCTGGAAACCCCTGAAAAAGGGGAAAAATTAAAGGATCTGACCCAGTTTGAATGAATCAACTAGTATTTGCATTTGATTACAAATGAGATCCTTTTTTGGGAGAAGGCATTGGGTTGATGTCACAAATGTACATCATATAGAGAGCATTACATGGTGGGAGCTATAATAAAACACATAAAAATATTTGTTTGGTTGGTAGGACCATAGTCGATAGGACATAAGTCGAAAAGGCTGTAGTAGGTGACGTACAGAAGTTGGAAGGATCATAGTCGGCAATAAATAGAGGTCTTAAAGACCGTTGTCTGGCGAGGGAGGTCAGAAGGATCGTAGTCGGCAGGAGACTGGGGTCAGAAAGACCGTTGTCTGGTGAGGGAGGTTGGAAGGACCATAGTTGGCAGAAGACCGGTGTAAGAAAGATCATAGTTGGAGAGGGAGGTCACCGTAGTAAGAGATGGAGGTCGGAAGGATCGTAGTCTGCAGGAGAATGGGGTAAGAAAGACTGTTGTCTGACAAGGGAGGTCAGAAGGATCGTTGTCGGCAGAAGACCGGGGTCAGAAAGATCATAGTTGGCGAGGGAGGTCATCTAGTAGGCTACAGAGGTCAGAAGGACCGTAGTCGTATTCGGCAGGAGATCGGAGTCAGAATGACCATAGTAGTAGGGCGGTATTCCGGTAGAACTCCGTGCTTCAGGTGGTGGTCCGGCAGAAGTCCGGGCCTTAGGTGATGGTCCAGCAGCACTCCAGTGTCAAGTGGTGGTACGACAGTGGCACTTCAGTGTCAGGGGGCACTCCGGTTTTGGGTGGCACTTTCAACGTCCTTGGATGGCCTGTTGGTGGTTCGACAAAACTTGGCGTTGGTGCGGCAGAACTTCGATGATGGTCGAGGAGGAGCTAGGTGGTTGGAGCTTTCTTCATTCTCTTCCTTCTTCTCTCTTGGCTCTTCCGCCCTATTTATAGAATTCTTGAGTGGCATGGCTTGTAAATAAGTGGAAGATCAAGGGTAAATTGTGAGTGGTTCGGATGGACGGCCGATCTTGATTCATGCAATCATGTAGAATTCAATGGTCCTTTGATTATCTTACTGATATCAAAATTTGATGATTTTAGGCTCGTTGAATTCGTCTCGTCGAGCCGCACGATTCGACTATAAGCATGTCATGATTGAAGACCATTTGGTAACCCAAATTGTGGTTTGATTCTTCCAAAAGTGCTTAGAGTCTTTGATTTGGACTCATTTGGACTTGGATTAGGTCGATTTTGGTGTCATTGGTTCGTGTTTCCGAGACGCTCAGTTTGACTATAAGTTTGCAGAAATCAGAGTTTGAATGGTCTCAAACTCTCCATTTTAATTTTTGAAGCTTCCAACTTGATTTTGCTTCAAGATTCGTGCCTAATAAAGATAAATTTTTTGATGATGTATCATATGCCATCCCAAACACACTCTTAGGCTCTATTTGGGACAGTTATTTTTATTTTTTATTTTTTGTTTTTTATAATAAGCTTCTAATATAAAAATTTCATAAAGTTGTGATTAAAAGCTGTCCAAGCGAAACCTTGATGTAAAGATCAGTGAGTTCAATCTAGTTGGCACTGCATTTTACTAATGGGGGAGCAGTTGCAAGGATCGATTATCTTATTACAGTAAAACGGATTTCTGACCTAAATCAAATATTTTAATCCACCTTGAAAGCATCATATAGGATTATCAATAACAATATAATCCTGATCAATCTCATAAAAAAAAGAGAAATAAAAAGCATCCATAAAATGAATGTATACGAAGAGAGTTGATAGAGCAACAGCTTGTCAAGGTAATATTCAAATAGATCAATTATTTTACCATTAGTTTTTAAAATATTATTTAGGATCAGGATGATCGTAATTATCTGTAAAAGTAGCTTGAAAAAAATAGAGTTTTAAAACTATTTTAGATATTATAAATTTTTTTTCCTAAAAAAGCTAAGGTAATAATTTTTCTTACAAATACAGTACTCTAAGATCTGATTGCGAATACACTATCTCTGTATAAAAAAATTATAGATATATGTGGTTCGACGAAGATGCTTAATTATATCCACGAGGTGGGGATGATTTCACTATTGTGAAGAAAAAAAATAGATTACAACCCGTTCTCTCTCATTCTCTCATACAACGTCCCTTAGGCCCAATTTATAGATTTGAAACGAACAAAATAAGGAAAATTTAATTAATGAAGATCTAATCATGCCAATTACATCTCCCAATCATGGCAAATTAAATCGCCTAATTTTGGTAACATCAAGTTCCAAATCCATGCAATAATCAGCCATTAAATACTTTCCAAATTAATGTTTTTCATAATTTGGAAAGATCTCCAAATCAACATAAGTACAATAATGATCAATAAAATTGTGAAAAGCTATCACAAATAGTCAAATATATTCCTAGGGTTTGTTTAGGACATGTGCATTTTTTTATATAGTTGATTGTGAAGTTGCTGTGAGAAAATAGCTTAATTATTCTTGTTGTAAAAAATAGCTTTTAGCTCATATATATTTTTTTTTTGAAAAATAGTGAGAAAAATGAAAATAATAATAAAATAAAATTGTGATTGTTGACTTGTAAGCAAAGGGGGAAGAAAGCTGTCCCAAACAAACTCTTAGGTTTAATTTGGACAGCTTTTGACCAATATTTTTTATTACTTTAAAAAAAAATTATACTAAAAAATTGCAAATTGCTTGTTTCGATACAAGTAAAAGAGCTTACTTTAGATTCTAATGTTATGTGAATTATTTACTGATTTAAGATATACCGTCCCATAATAGTTGGCTATAATTCTGAAACTTCAATTGTCTATAGACGCAAGGGAAAAAAAAAAAGATTCTCAAAAGAAAATTCATCAATATATTACTAAAAGCATTGCTAAATGTTTAGAGTTTAAATACGTATAGCCTCCATCTATATTACTTTAGCAAAGCTATAATACCCAAAATACGGGAAATTGTAAGTTGATAGATTCTCTTTATTTCGAAGCACATTCAACCTGCATCTATTTAAATTGTAATCAAATGTTCAGTGATGGGAGAGTAATATTTATAGT